GACGGCAGCACTACGGGTCCGTACACTGGGGACTGGGCCTCACAGGCAACAAGTGCCACCACCGGCAAGATGCCTCTGTCGCCGAGCACTCAAGGCACTAGCATTGTCAGCAGAGAGTCGACGGAGCAGCTTCCAGGCGTGCCCACGATTTCGGAGCCAAAGCCATTCGCCGAAGTCAAGCCCGAATCCGCATTCCTGGACCACGACGCCAATGGACCTCACTACGACGCCAACGGCTCTCACTTGTCGAACGGGTCTTTGGGCAAAGCAGAAGGCGGCAAAGTTGTGAAGAAGAAATCTAGTAGATTCCGCATGAATGCCTTCCAGTTCTTTCGGCGGAACAGAGCGTCGAGCCCGTCCATGTCAGCGGCCGACACAGCTACCTGATGAATCAGAGACTTTGAGCGAGACGAGCCGATTCTGGCATCTACATTCGAATGGTGCGGCACAGGCACAGGAAAGCCACGACTTTGGTGGCTCACGCAGATTCCCCAGCGATCGATATACCCGAGCCACCACAGAGTTGTTAATCTAATCGCGATCCGAGATGATGGGAGCAGCGCCACAGTCGCACAAAAGAATTGTAAAGCACAGTATACGGAACTCGCGATTTATGTATAGTATTGGGGATGGAGTTAATGCGTATTGGGTGTTTGAGTGCTTCGCCTACATTGGCGATGATAACGAGGGGAATACGGCCGGGCAAGTCATGAGCTGGATGGCAAGGCCTACGACAGTGCTCTTCCGGGGCCTCGGCCGCCTGCTCAAGAGCAGGCTAGGTGGGAGGCGGCGTTCTGGGCAAGTCGGCAGGTTGTGACGATTTCAGCTTTGGGACAGTCAACAGACGGTCTGATATTGGGCAACAATGGCGGCGATTCCATATTTTGGTCTGGCTAGTGGGCGTGCTATCGACCATGGGATGATAGGGGGGAGGTATGTGAAGGCGTACGGTCAGACATGGCCGACAGCCCGTAGTAGATGATAGCAAATCCTAACAAGTTCACTGTGATGGCGAATTGATTCTAGTGGTGCATGTCATGATATCAGGAAAGGGAACGTTGCTGGCGCCGCGACCGCTATGGGTTGTTTCCAGACAGAGTCTGGTGGGTATGAAGATTAATGGCAAACTAACTCAGTGAGGTCGAATCCTGATGGTAAGATACGCAGTAGATCTGCGTTGATGCCATTTTGGTCGATCGGGCGAAGCGGCATGGAATGGGTGGATGGGTGGATATTATCTGGACGGCCGAAGAGGTTCTCGCACAAATCGGGGAAGGACCCACCCCATGAATTCATGTCTTAGCCGCAAAGGACGATGGCTCTCTGGACCGACACTAACTACAAACGTAGGAAGGCACGTATTCTGAGTGAGAAAGGTGAATGACCTAAAGGTGAGTATTCGAAAGTGGGCGCGTATAGCACCCGTGAGTAGCACACAAGACATTCGGCAAACGCAATCCCAGTTGCGGCTCGCTGGCGGTTGATTGAAGTCGCGCCGCCGGCGTCGTTGAGAACAGTTCCAATGGACTGAAAAGTAATGGAGCGTGGCACGTGTGGGTAGCGGCGGCTGTGTGAGGCAAATCTTGCGTAAGGTCTATAATGAGCATCACCCTCCCTCTCTACAAGTTGGTCGATAATACACCGGCAGGACGAAGATGAACTTGTTGCTGGGGCGTCTGGCCTTGCATTATGTGTTTGGAGCATCGATGTTGGGTTCGGCTGGACGTGAGATCCCTCCCGTTTGGTTTGGAATGGCTAAGCCGGGCGAATGGGATGGCGGCATCAGCTTATCAGCAAGGAAGAATTATGGAACCTCCGCAGCACAAGGTCCCAGGTCCAGGCACGGCGCGGCACAGGTTCCTGGCCGTGGGATTGTGAGGTTGTGCCTGAGGTGATTGCCAAGCGGTACGGCGGTACCTGACATGACGCAGACGAAGCAGGGCGGGCGAAGAGCGAGGAACGGTGAGGGGACGTACCGACTTATCAGATTGCTGTGCGCCGATGAGCGAGCGTCTGTTAGCAGATCTGCAACAGGTAGGTTCCCTTCTTTAGCGTCCGAGGCGCGGGGATCAGGTGGACAGTGTTTCCCGACTATCGTTTGGCCAACCCTTGGGGAGCTCACGAGCCAGTCGTTTCTCTGCATTGTGAGCTGGAGCTCCCCACAGCAACTTGTGCATTGAGGGTGGTCCACGCGGTTTGTGTAGGTATCCGTATCCGTAGAGCTGTTGCTTGAGTTGTGTCGTTGCCATTGCTGTTGCGATGGGAGCCTGCGACAGCGGTAGCGCGACCCAGCTCGGCCAACGCACCCCAGCCCCGATGGCAGCAGCAGTGACAAGCTGTGCACCTCTGCTCTATGGGTCTCCCCCCACCCACCCCCAAGCACCCAGAGTATGTGTGTAGAGCACCCAGCCAACCCGCCTGCCTCCGTCATGTTTCATTTATTACGTCCGCGAGCTTCCTGCCTGTCGCCTGTCACACTTCCTCCGAGCTCCCTCTTCCTCCCAGTCTCCTTCATCCTCCCATCTACAACCTCCTCTCCCTCCGCCATCTTTACTTTCTTCCCCTCCCCATAATCATCTCTCTTCATCTTATCTTTTTTCGATCTCATCTTCAGTGCTCCATCAAACGAGCTGATTGCCCATCATGAGGTTCTCAACCTCCGCCCTCGTCCTCGGCGCGGCCTCCACCGCCCTCGCCTTGGACCAGCAAGTCCTCGGCGGCCAGGACAGCCCCTTTGACACCATCAAGACCACTGGCGAGAACTGGCTCTCGGCTTTCGAGGACAAGTTCGGCAAGATGACTTCCGAGGCCAAGGCCGTCTGGGACGAGATCACTCTCCTCGCCCCCGAGGCCGTCGAGTCTTTCAAGAAGACCACCCAGGCCACCAAGCCCAAACCTCACCACCGCAAGTCCGATAAGAAGTGGGACCACGTCGTCAAGGGCGCCGATGTCCAGGGCATGTGGGTTGAGAAGAATGGCGAGCAGCACCGCAAGATTGGCGGTGACCTCAAGAACTTCAACCTCCGCGCCAAGAAGGTCGACCCCTCCGCTCTCGGCGTCGACAAGGTCAAGCAGTACAGCGGATACCTCGATGATGAGGAGAACGACAAGCATCTCTTCTACTGTAAGCCACCGATTGATCCCACCATTCTTTCTGTCCATTTTAAGCCGTCTCTAACCTTATCTCAGGGTTCTTCGAGTCCCGCAACGACCCCAAGAACGACCCCGTCGTCCTTTGGCTCAACGGTGGCCCTGGCTGCTCTTCCCTGACCGGTCTCTTCATGGAGCTCGGCCCCGCTTCCATCGACAAGAAGCTTAAGATTGTCAACAACGAGTGGTCGTGGAACAACAACGCCTCCGTCATCTTCCTTGACCAGCCCGTCAACGTCGGCTACTCCTACTCTGGTTCCTCCGTCTCCAACACGGTCGCTGCCGGCAAGGACGTCTACGCTCTTATGTCCCTCTTCTTCCACCAGTTCCCCGAGTACGCCAAGCAGGACTTCCACATTGCTGGCGAGTCGTACGCCGGCCACTATATCCCCGTCTTCGCCTCTGAAATCCTCTCCCATGAGGACCGCAACATCAACCTGAAGAGTGTCCTGATCGGCAACGGTCTTACCGACGGCTGGACCCAGTACGGATACTACCGCCCCATGGCTTGCGGTGAGGGTGGCTACAAGGCTGTTCTCGATGAGGGCGAGTGCCAGGCCATGGACAACGCTCTTCCCCGTTGCCAGAGCCTGATCAAGAACTGCTACGACTCTGGCAGCGTCTGGTCTTGCGTTCCCGCCAGCATCTACTGCAACAACGCCCTCATCGGCCCTTACCAGCGCACCGGCCAGAACGTCTACGACATCCGTGGCAAGTGCGAGGACAGCAGCAACCTCTGCTACTCTGCCCTTGGCTGGATCAGCGAGTACCTCAACCAGGATGAGGTCAAGGAGGCCCTCGGTGCTGAGGTCGACAGCTACGACAGCTGCAACTTTGACATCAACCGCAACTTCCTCTTCGCCGGTGACTGGTTCCAGCCCTTCCACCGCATCGTTCCCGGCCTTCTTGAGAAGATCCCCGTTCTCATCTACGCCGGTGATGCTGATTACATCTGCAACTGGCTCGGCAACCGTGCCTGGACTGAGGCTCTGGAGTGGCCTGGACAGAAGAGCTTCAACAAGGCCGAGGTCAAGGGTCTTACTGTTGGCAAGGGTGAGGAGTACGGAAAGGTCAAGTCCAGCGGCAACTTCACCTTCATGCAGTTGTACGGCGCCGGACACATGGTCCCCATGGATCAACCCGAGGCCTCATCTGACTTCTTCAACCGCTGGCTTGGCGGTGAGTGGGTTGCTTAAATGCACTCACAATAATGAGCAATGTACGAAACGAAGATTGGATAGCGTATGGAATGCTGTTGTAACAGTGAACGCTCGGATTGGTTCGTAGTACAAGACTGGGCATATTGGAGTTTGTCAATACGGGAGGACCCAGTCGTCCGGTTTACCGATAGCGCCAGTTTAAGCCCGGCGCAGTAGAATCTGGTTATGCTGTTAGAATATGACTCTTTTTTTCCGTAAACTCTCAAGGGTTCTGTTCCGATGGTGCTGTATGACTGGGTCCGTCTGGACCAACCCTGCTGGCATGCCGCTGTAACGGAGATGAGTCGAAATGACAGGATTAGTCACCGGTGCCTTCTGAAGTGCCTTAGCTGCAGAATTCCTGGCTTGGTATCCGCTAAAGCAACGTCAGACCAGCCCAGCACCTGCCATAAACATATTTCACCACCTGCTGCACCTCCTCGCAGCTGCACCGCATCAGTACTTTACCCCGCCAAAACTTTTCTGGTCGACGACTGCCTCCAACGTCACCGAACAACGACGAACCCAAGTGACTCTCTATCTCTCTCGTGTCGTCGCAAACAACCACACACGGTCGCGAAGCACCATTCTACACACGAACCTACGTACCTCAAACAATAATCGAGAAGCGACAACCCCACAACCGCCACAATGTCGCGAATGATCAACCAACCCTCGAACCAGATCAAGCTGACCAACGTGTCCATGGTCCGCCTGAAGAAGGGCAAGAAGCGCTTCGAAATTGCGTGCTACAAGAACAAGGTCATGGAGTGGCGGTCCGGGATCGAGACGGACCTGGACAACGTGCTGCAGATCCCCAATGTGTTCCTCAACGTCTCCAAGGGCCAGACGGCGCCCAAGGAGGACCTGGAAAAGGCGTTTGGAAAGGGCAAGAGCACGGACGACATCGTGCTGGAGATATTGAAAAAGGGGGAGATGCAGGTGGGCGGGAAGGAGAGGGCGGAACAGACGGAACGGGTGCATAACGAGGTGATTGGGATCGTGGCGAGCCGACTCGTGGATCCGAGGACGAAGAGGGTGTATACGACGGGCATGATTGAAAAGGCGCTCGATATGCTGAGCTCTGCGGCGCACGGGGATGGAGATGACGCGCCTGGTAAGAAGGGCGGTGCCGGTGCTGGCGGATCGAAGACGGCAAGCGGCACGGGGACGCCGGCGGGCGGGGAGGAGGGCGAGGCGAAGCCCCGCGAGAAGGGGTTCCACTGGACGGGCGTGACGACGACCAAGTCGGCCAAGTCGCAGGCGCTCGAGGCGATGAAGGCGCTGATTGCGGCGCAGCCTATCCCCGTGCAGAGGGCGCGGATGAGGCTGCGCGTGACGTGCGCGACGAGCGTGCTGAAGCAGGCTGTCAAGGAGAAGCCCGCTGCTGGTGGCAAGAAGGGAGGCGACGACGACGGAGACGAGCCGAAGCAGAAGCCCGGCACGGTTAAGGATCGGATCCTGGGGTTCGTGGAGCAGGTTGAGAGCCAGGACGTGCTGGGAAGTGAGTGGGAGGTCGTCGGGTTCGTGGAGCCTGGCGCGTTCAAGGGGTTGGGGGATTTCATTGCGGGCGAGACGAAGGGGATGGGCAGGGTTGAGGTTTTGGATATGGCTGTTATTCACGAGGATTAAAAAAATGGCTGGACGGGCTGATGTGGTGTTCTTGTCGATATACCCCCTTTTTAGACCGAGGAAGGGTTTTTCTTTCGTATATTCATGATGAAAAGTAGATTTCACGACATGATTGGATATCTTCGGCCATGCCCTGCGTGAGCGTACCTGATAGTAAGGTGAGGTTATTCACTAACATCTTTGCTGGGTTGACTGGGATTCCCTCTGTCCATGCATGAAGGTAACAGAAAAAAAGGTCGAAAAGAAGGCCGGCTCGAACCCGCGACCTCTCGATCTCAAAACCCACGCAGGCAGTCAGGCAGGTACCTTAGGCGGGAGGTACATCGAGGGAGGCACGACATCAGGATCCATCCTGGGAGCTGCATCGCCCCGTCACCAAAACTACTAGCAACGAAAATGCACACAAAAAAGGGAAGCTGCCCGCTATGGCGTCACTGTTGGTCCTGCTCGCCACTCAAGGCTGCCCATCTAGGCACTCTAAGGATAGAGTGGTAAAGGCACAATCATACCGTTCGGCCGTCGTCGACAACGGACGATGCTTCCTTGGAGACTGGGAGCACTTTCGGTCCCCTATGAGGGTCTCAACGTCGCCCCTTTCCTTCCCTCGTTCCTTCCTTCCTTCCGCTTGCACTTCATCACGTCCTGTAACATTCTTTGCATGCTGCTTGTTCCTTGTTGCTCCCCTAGGCATGCTTGGGCCTACGGATACACAGTACACCAGCATCCGGTCTCACCCAGGTATTGATGATCTCGACTGACTTTACTGCGCTGGATTAAATTGGGCCGTATGCTCTCTTGCAAAGACGGCTGGCTGGTATTCCCATCGGTTCATTCTCGCCACCCCATTTCCTACTGAGCTGCACATCGTGACATCTGTTTCGCCTTAGTGGGGATGTGTGGACGTTTCGAATGCACACCTGCCTTGAATGGCTAAGAAGCCATCTTGAAGATGAGGTCAGACCCGGGCCGAATCGGCTTGGGTTCGGGCTGCCGTGTGGAGTTGAGGCTCGATGATTCTGCCTCCACACGGAGCAGGACGCGGGATCCGCTTCGCTTGGAAGTCGCACAGATTTTGAAATGATGGCCCTGAAGTGGCATTTGGCATGGCATGTCACTATGGTTTACAACGTTCTGGCTCTCTCTAAGCAATTCACCATTGGGATTTACGGCTTCGGTCACTCTTTGATGAATTTAAGCATTGTCATTTTGTGTATCGTGTGTAAAAGATCACGTCACGTCATCACCCAGAAACGCCGTGTACTTTTTTAGCTTTTTGTTGTTTTGGTATGATGGAACTCTTTCCGATTCGTTATCTAGAGACGCCACCATCCTGCGCAGAATAGCAATCCCCTTGTTGTAATGCAGCAGTAGAGTATCATCACGAGTGATGAGATGGAGAGAAAACCAGCCGTATCACGCCGCCTATTGTTCCTTGCCACCGCACGACCCAAATTTTCATCATCAGAAGCCACACGCTTAACCACCCTTCTTCTTGGACACACCGACCGTACGGCCGCGGCGGCCGGTGGTCTTGGTGTGCTGACCGCGGACGCGGAGACCCCAGTAGTGACGGAGACCGCGGTGGGCGCGGATCTTCTTGAGGCGCTCGAGATCGTCGCGGAGCTTGGAGGCGACGCCGTTGGCGAGGATCTGGCTGTCCTTGCCGTCGACGATGTCACGCTGTCTGTTGAGGAACCACGAGGGGATCTTGTACTGGGTGGGGTTCTGGATGATGGTGACGATACGCTCGAGCTCTTCGGAGGTGAGCTCACCGGCGCGCTTATTCAGGTCGACTGTGGTTGGAGATTCGTTAGTCTTCTCGTGTCCTCCTTGGATGTTTCGAACTTCCTCTATATCCCAAGCGCCAAGATTGCAGTCCTCGTGTGCGGATTCTGCTGGCGAAGGAAACAGGGGAAAGAGCAGGGCTTTCTCGTAGACGTACCATCGGCCTTCTTGCACACAATGTTGGAGTAACGACGACCGACACCACCAATCTTGGTGAGCGCGTACATGACCTTTTCCTGACCACGAACGTTGGTGTCTGCGAGCATCCGTTAGCCATCTCCTAAATTCCGCTTTCCAAATCGTGCCGGTTTCTCGCGAATTTCATATCGGGGTGATCGGTGTGGTGTATGTAGGAGGGCTTTCTGTCGTCGGCGCGGAGGGAGTATACATACTCAGAAGACGGAGAATGAACTGGAAGTTCGCTGCACCAAAACAGTTAGCATCGACATTCCGTAAACTTGCTGTTTCTCTCGAGAAACAATTCGAATTATTTCTCGAAAGGCAAGAGGGGGGCTGGGGTAGACGAACACTTCTCCCCGGAGACGAGCGACATGCTGGGCAACTGTCGTACGAAGGCTGCTCCTAGATGTCGATGGTTGATGGCTGACGAACAGATTCGGTCAGGTGTGATAGACTCTCGAGAGTGGGTGAAAGGAAATTTGCGAGTTTGGCGGTGGGCTTCGCTTACCCTATGGTCACGTGGACTCGGAGCGCACGCTCTTCGCCTCACGGCTGGGAGATTTTTGGCGGAGACCGGTGACTAAGCCACTTTCGTGGGCAGCGGTTGGCTGAGACCCGGCAGCGACCCCTCGCTCTCGAGACGCTAGCATCCATTTGATGCGAGAAAGCATGCAGGGGTCGTTTTCGATTGGTCGGGGTCTCTATGGAGAAATCCAATGTCTCCAACGCTCGACTTTGTGAGCCCACAAGTTTGGACGGGCTCAACCGACGACATTCATTGGTAGTGGTAAAATTGTGCCTGAAGATGCTGTGCCCTGGGCCTCTTTTAGAGCTTGTGATGGTGTACCAATTCCAGTGCAATTGGCAATCGACACAAGTATCCCATCGTGCCGTGCCCCTCCCGAATGTTGCTCCTTTCACTACCGTCCATCAAACCCTCCACCTTACACGAAAGTCGCTGGCGTTCAACCACCTTATAAAGATACCTAGATAATTATGTGGTGTTTTTGGTCTTGCTGCTGGTCTTCTGGCACCCAACAAGTTGAGTTGAGAGATGTCGTGACCTCGTCTCTCGAGCACTCTTGACTAGTAGGTATGTGATTAAGAGCTCTCGATGAAGTTATTTTCCAATTCAAAGCTTGAGATTACTCGGAATTGCACACAGTACATCCTGTCATGGAGCCTCTTCCAGTATGGTTAAATAGCGAGATATTTTCGATTCATGAATCTTTCATTATCATCAACACCTGTCATGATTCAGATAGACCCGGCCAGCCACCCAACCTGCTAAAGCCCTGCCCTCAACTCCAATACACACCCCATTCCCAAGTCCCATCCATCCGTCCACTCACACTATCACGCCGCAGGCGCCGCCGCTACTGGAGCCGCAGGCGAGGCAGCAGGTTGCGCCTAGTTCGCACCAGCAGCAACCGCCGCAGGTGGAGCCGGGGCCGGCTGTGTAACGCTCTGGCCCCCGGGACTCGATCCCACAATCACCACTCCGGACCCAGTGTTTCCCTGAGCAGGCGGGGCTGCCGCCGGCGCCGCTTGTGGGGGCGTGCCGGGGTTCTTTCCAAATTGCACCGGTGCGATGGCCTGGTTGGCTCCGTTGACGATGGCTGCTCCCGGCTGTGCTGCCGGAGCATTCTGCGATGCCGGCGGTGGGGCTGCTACTTGAGCGGGAGGCTGTGCTGCTGGAGCAGCAGCTGGAGCGGCAGCAGGAGCAGGTTGTCCCTGATTCGCGCCGACCGCTATACTTCCCAAGTTCTGTCCGCCTTGCTGACCTTGAGCCTGGGCCGGAGGCGGCGGCGGCGTCGCGACCTGCGCTGGAGGTTGAGCTGCGGCTGCCGGGGGTGGCTGTATTCCTCCCTGGTTCGCTCCGACGGCAATGCTTCCCAGATTCTGGCCCTGTGCCTGACCTTGAGCAGGTGGCGGTGCTTGCGCCGTGTTGTTGCCCCTATTTCCATTGAAGATGCCCAGCCCGGACAAACCCGCCAGCTGCGCGGCGGCAATCTGCTCAAAGCTCGAAAAGATCTGCGCCGCGGCCGCGGTCAGCGCTGGGTTCCCGTTGGCGGCGTTGGCGGCGGACGTCGCGCAATCCGTCAAAAAGGTCCCCGCATTCTGGACAAAGAGGCCTTGTTGCTGCGGCAGGATGATGGCGGCTGGGTCCGGGACCGAGAGCAGCTGCGGCGCCTGCGTGCCTGCGGGGAGGATGATGCTTTGGCCTACCTGGCCAAAGGGGGCTGCCTGGTTGAAGGCTGCGAGGCTGAGGGTGTTGTCGGCGGGGGTGGAACCGACGGCTTCGGCGCTGAAGTCGGATGTGTTGGATCCAGCGGACGAAGAGGAGGCCTCAAGTTGCACGCGGGCGGCGCCAAAGGCATTTGCTTGGGCTGATGCCGCCTGTGGTGTCGAGATTTCCAGGTTGGTCGGGTCCGTTACCATGACGAGCGTCTGTTTCCCTGCCTGTCCGTTGTCTGCGAGGAGCTGGTTAACGAGGTATCGCTTGTTCTGTTGCCCCTGATTTCTGTTGTCGACTAAGCCGGTAACAGTAACGATGATGGTGTTCTTCGGTCAAAGTCAGTCTTGCGCTCATAGTTTGTTGTATACCCGTTGCCGGGTATGCCCAGGCGGTATGCGTGAAGGACAGGAATAGACTCACCGCCTGAGGGAATTGCGCCTTAAAATGGTTAATCCGGATGTTATCCTTGACGGTCTGCAGCTGTGTCGCAAGTGCGAGCTGAGACTGCACCAAGGCAGCGAGCTCTCTCTCGTTCTGCCTTTGCAGCTGGTTGATCTTGTCGAGGTTCTCCTGGACGACGATGATGTTGGGCTTGATGATGTTTTGGATAATATTCACGTCGCCATTGTTCTTATTGTTATTATTATTGTTGTTGTTGTTCTTGCCGTTGTTATTGTTGTTGCCCTTGGCATTGTTCTTGTCCTGATTTTGATTCTGGTTCTGATTTTGACCTTGCCCCTTGTCCGCGGCTTTTGCATCCTGAGCAGGCGCTGAGAAGACATGACAGTCAGCATGACTACCTCATATAAGGCAGGCGTGATGAAGTTGAGACCTACCCGCCACAGCCAACGAACTGAATGCCGCCAGGGCAGCAATAACGTGCTTGAGATGCATAGCTTGTTCCAAAGTCCACGCAAACTATTAGGATTTACAAACGAAATGAAGGGGGTAGCAGCGAGTGTTAAAGGCACAGCCGACTCGAAAGGTAAGAATTATGGATAGTGAAAGGATTGTAAAGAATCGAAATAAGAGGAGAATTAAGAGTGGCCGCTGGGGCTCACGGAGAAGAGAAAAGAAAGGCAGATCGAGGGAAAGTAAACGCGAAGGAGGCCAAGAGATCTACTCTAACGGAGCATAATCTGTTGATCTCTTCTGATCGGTTGCAACGCAGAAAAAGGACAGTAGAAACAGGATGCTGGCGGACTGCATATGTATATTAACCTTATTCCTGCCTGTATTCTGACTATCCGGAAACAGCTTCATGGTCATACCCGCACTCCGTCGATGAATCTCTCCTGGTGCCGGGAGCTGCGTTTCCCGTGAATGGTATGGGATGCCCTGAAGGCGGAACCGAAGAAGAGAGAGGGGTCTCCGAGTCGTAGATGGACGGGATGACAGATCTGGTAGACATTCGTCTCGTCGTAAAACTCCCGAACCCTAGACCCCGGTTCTACAAGTAGGTAAAGCCGCAGTCTGGAAAGGAAGAACGCACGATGGTGGCTTCAGAGTCAGGGGCATTTAATGATCTCGAGGCAAGGGAAGAAGGGTATCCTGGTCCCAAAGAGGGGGGTAATGGAACCCAAAGTCAGGACGACTCTAGCAGAATAATGCTAGGGAAACGAGCCTCACCTGCCATCCAACCTTGACAACAACTTGACGTACCCGTACGCTGGCCGTTTGCCGTCTCAACCGTCCCATGCCGCACCTGTCAAAGCAGCCATCATCCCATCGAAGAAAGGGACGGGGCTCGGTCCTTCAGCCACCAATCACATCACCGCCTTCTACGACCCTGGGCGGCTTTGCGACCCCACGCGAAACGGTATCACAGAAGAGCCTCATGAGACAGGGGGGAGACCGGGAAGAGAGGAGGGGTTGTGCTTCATTGCGAATTTTCTCTTGCCATATACGAGTCAGCAGGGAATTAGTGTCATGTCAATGCGTAGAGTTTGGCAACTCGTCGCGAGTGATGCCGGTGGCCATCTGTAAATCTCTGTAGCCTTCTCGCCATGATCAACCGCCAAGTAAAGATCGCATCCAGGTAGGGAGCGAGCCACAAGTTCGAAAACTAGAGGATTTGAAGGGGCGTTGAGAGAGCACTGGAAAAACATCCAAAATGTCCGCGGCTCTTGGAGATTTCATTCGGCAACACCAAATCGGAGAATTAAGTGATTTTTTGAGTTAGGCTCGAGCCGATGCAGATGCCAAGTCCTAGGCCAAAGCATAAATGCTTTCCCTTTGGGCCGATGACAGCTTGGCTAACGGGGAGCCGAAGCTTGTTTTCAAAAGACCACATTGGAGTTTGATCCATGCGTGGGTAGATGGAGCAGACTCGAAACACACAACTCAAGCCCCTCATCCCTGTCGCTGTTTAGTAAAGCATACCACTTCAATGCGACTCACTGATAGACAACAAGTAAGTGTATCATCTGCAACTATGTAGCGTTGCCTCGTGTAGTCATTAATACAGAAAGTCTGCCTTGCGTCACTCCGGAGAGAGGGGGCTTTCAGCTCCAACCCGGGATTGTCGTACAATGCCCATCATACACCATAAGTCATATTACCAAGCCACAGCAGGGCCAGGAAGCCCACAAACTTCAGTCGCAAGGCGCTGTTTGACACAGAAGAGCCTTTCGTTCTTCCTCTTTCTGTCGCCTTCTCCATTGCTGCCGCTGAACGCCATGGCACAGGACTTGTCTTACCGTCCTTTACCGGTAGGGTGCGACCCAATGAGGCTTCTTCGGCCTGCTCTCTCTCCTCTACTCCCGTCAAACCCTTGACAACACGGAGAGTGGCACTCTGGCATCTGCTGCAGGCCCAAAGGAAGACAGTAGCAATTATGGTTACCTCAGCTGCTCTTGGTAGGCGGCCTCCGCTTCCGATCCTCAAAACCCCAGCTCCGTCGCTCGCAAGCCATATGTGATGGTGCAAAATGTAGACTTCGAGTGACATTCTTCCAAGAGCTGCCGCAGGTGGGATTTGAAGATCTCGCAACTTTCGGAAAGAGTTTCTCGTAATGATGGCCGACAGCACAAACCAGGGACTCGTGTACGGGTGGTAGGTGTCGTAAGACTGGTTATTGTGGTATACCTCGGCGATGAATGCAAGGATGATGAAAATTATGAGATACGCAATGGCGAAAATGATCATTATCGGCTTCACCGGAATTGCGTCTTGCTCTGGATATGTGATCTCCAGCAACCCGCGGTCGAGTGCGTTGTTGATCCTTTTGAAGGAAGCCTCGGCGTTGATGCCATGCTGACGACGCCTGAGGACCGAGACTCGATGCGTTGCAGCCGCCGCAAGTATTCCAAAGCAAGGGATGAAGCGGTCCATGGCGAAGTGGGCGCGCAGAAGATTTACGTCCCAGTAAATACCACAAGCTCGTTTGAGAATTAACAGGAAACGCTCAGGTGTACGGGTGCTTTGTACCAAGTACGAAGTCCAGGCAGCAAATACAACAACCTTTACAAAGAGTGCAAAAGGATTGCTGTTGGACTTCTTAAAGCAAGCCAGCGTTGCATAGATGACTGCAAACCAAAACGTCAATAGTGGCGCAGTGTAAATGATCCATTCGCTTGATACCATGAATGCAATCAGGCAGGTCAGCAGGTTCAGCCGGCCTAACACATACGCGACCCTGCGTAACGAAAAGTCTTCGGTGCGGAGGAAGTACATCGTGTGACCGTAGCTGAACAAAAAGACGAACGTCGCCATGAGGAACTTGTGTACCTTATACATCGCCAAGGACTCGGATGCCATGTGGTACTTGTATAGTAGAACGAAGACCAGCATCCAGCCTCTCCACTCGTCTGTTTGATCCCGTGACAGAAAGGACGTCGTAGTGAGCCCTTTCGCTGACGACAAAACAGGTGCTTTGAAACGAATTGACAGAGCTGCGAAAATAGCTAGGCCAACCAAAGGTGACATAAAGTCGGGTATGTCAAAATGCTTGTCCTGCTTCGCGAAGATGTGAGTCCGGTCGGCGATAAGGCAATATACCGCAACGACCAGTACGGTGGCCAACGCCCAAAGAGTATCCAAGAAGCGGGACGTTCGGGCCGACGGGAAAGCATCCTGCTGCCGACTCAAAAACAAAAATGGCATCGTCAATACATTAAGGCCAAGCAGCAAAAGCTGAACCCGACGAAGAGGAGGATATGGGACACAGCAGGTGACCTGGTTGGCGTATCCTCGTCCAACCAGACCGGCATTGCAGTGGGCATTGAGAACGACATCCAGTTTTCTCTCTGCCACAATGTCAACCGAGTGGATACCATCCTCAAGCATAGCGTCGTCGTGTCCCTCGGTCATGCTATTGTAGGCCCATGCGATATGCGATTGCTCATTCAGCTCCAGGTGCTCCAGGTTCCAGTTCATGGCGTCAATCCTCTTAGGAGTGATGGCACGCGCGCGAGACGTGGTAAGCATATCGTAGGCTGGGACAGGCACGGGTGCCATAAGGACGTGATTGGAAAGCTCTGCAAAGGCCGACTGTGAGTTGCTCTTGGGGTACACCATTAAGTCGTCAATACTCTTGTGCAGGTACGGCATAAGGACGTTGATGCCTTCTTTGAAGAGCTCCAAGTACCGATCACCGCCCTGACGGGCCGCCCATAGACCTGGAGTGCCAAGAATGATGAGCGCAGGCGACTCTCTTCCTTCTTGTAGAACAAGTTTCTCATAGTCGGCGGATCCGGGACGGTCCCGGAATCGAGCCAATTGGGTGTGGAGACTCGTGGAGTTGAGCCAAGGGTCCCAAAGAAACTCCAGTCTGACGCCTTCGACATCCATTGTGAGGTTTTGATGCTTGTCTTCGGACACGGCGAAGTCAAGAATGGCTTTCTCGGCGACATGATGGTCAAGTCGTGTCATGGCAGCGAAGTAGAGCTGGCGCATAGTCGAGTCTCCAATGATAACCAGGTGACGACCTGAGAAGCAGCCCGAGACATCCTCGCGGGACATCTCGCGCATTCTGCAATTGTCGGGCTCCCATTTTGAAAAGACATCTCTCGGCAAGTTTGAGCCGGGGCGCGAGCGCCAGGTGCCGTTGGAGAGCAATGCGTTGCACTTGTAGGGATCATGTTGGCCTGCATCTCTTGTCAGCTTCTTGACTCAGCTTAAGCTTGTCCAGGACCCTAAATTGGTGGGGCAGCTGGAGAATGGAACTGCTTAAGTCGTACCGAATACGAAATACTGGTAGACGACTGAGAGAAGCAGTATTAAGAGAGAAACCCGCGGTATGGTCCGGAGAAAGAAGGGCGAGCTCCCGGCAGAGGCAGCTAGCCTTTGAATGCTGCGAATCATTGGGGGCTAAAAGGGACGAAGAGGAACACTCGATAAGGTACGGCGCGCGATCTCAATGCTCCGACTGGTGGTGGCGGTTGCAGCTGGCGGGAAACCGCATTTCTCTTCCGCCTAGTGGGATGCTCTCCGGACCGTTCGGGGACGTGTTGAAGAACGTTACAGAAGAAGACTCGTGATGTCACAAAACCGAGAGAGAACAGCCACAGGAGTAGAGACGCGAGTTGAGGTAGAAGGGGAGGTTCGGAGAGCAACAGTCAAGCGGCGAAGGATCCAAGAAAGGAATCGGATTGATTGTCAACCCCGTCAGACGCGCATGCGAGCGCAGCTGCCATTTCCCTTATAATGCCAGCAACGGTCGAGGCCAAGAACTGGACGGATGACAGGGCTGGCGCTGCCAAGGTGCCGCTACGGAAAGAGACCCGTTCATGGTCTTGGGATGTCATTCCTCAGCCTGTGACCTGTCAGCCTGGAGGAAGGGAGTGGAGGGAGACCGCGGAAAGGGGAAGGCAGTCACACGTACGCCGCATCTACGCAGACTCCAGAGCGGCAAAGCACACTGCATTGGCACATTAGGCCCTGGGGAAATCGATAAAGGATGGATGGGGGGTCGCACTTGGTGGGAATCACCGTCAGCAAGCGAGCTGTTGGTGACTGCTAAGATGGGATGGACGGGCAGCCGCGAGATAACAGGCCAGGCACCCCCCTTCCGTGATCCCTGCTGGATGTTGACGACGCACCTTCTTTTGGCAAGCCAACACGCGACATTGTGGGGGAGACTCCAAGAGAGAAGCACGAACCCGAGCACCGTCATTCTGCCCGCGTCATTGGCACCGTGTGGGATGCCCATAATCCCGTTATTGCCGCCAATGGCCAACATCAAATCAATCACCCAACCAGGCCAACCTGCTGGGCTTTTGGCAGTCTGTGAGTCTTGTGGGCCAGGGAACACAGTGTGGTCCACTTGTATTGGCCAGTGCAGCCACGCTGACGGCCAAGAAGGCGCACCGCCTATTTTTTTTTCCTTTCGGCTCGAAATTTTTCTTCTCTTCATTCGTCCATCTTCCCGTCGGACATCGTTTACAGTCTGCCAAACAGACGCCGTTGCAAACGGCGGCACAACTCTTACTCTCGATGCTCGAGGAAGTTGACTGCTCGAACACTGCCAGCACTCCATGATGTGTATACTTCACTCGGAGCATATCAGGCTGCTGCAAGAACAGAGGTAGGTTAGCGTAAGGAAGCTTCCTCGCATACATGCAAACTTGATGCCGTCTTTTGCCATAGCTCGATCAGTTCAGCCTCCTCGTCTTCTGATCTTGAGCCGGATACACCACGCCTCGCGCGCGGTAGTATGAGACAAGATTGAACCCCAGGCAATGTTCTTTGAGTACGTAACCTTCTGATTCTATGTGAAGGCTTGCGTAATTTACCTGTTGTCACACCTCTCAGTCTCGGCACTCCGTTTCCTGTAGATATCTGTTTCCATTATTTGCGCGTATCTACCTCTCTACCTAAGAGGCAAAAAGAAAACTTTTGTAAAAGCAATTTCAAAAGCAAAACATTCGATTTCGTTCGTTCCTGTTCCCTAGTCTCAAGAAAGCTGCTAGCCTGATGGCAGGCCGCTTCGCTTGAGTTTTGACTCTCTGCTCACATCCCGTAAAACCCTGAAACAAGTGAGACCAATCCATAATCCTCACTGAATGTACGATGCCCAGGTGCCAAGAGGGCGGGGAGTGGGCTGCTTCGGCTGTTTGACATTCGCCTCCAGAGCCGACAACAGACCCTGACGGTCGAACTCGGTCAGCTGAAGCTTCTGCGCAGTATGGATATGCTGAACGTCAACATTCGACATGCCTCGGATGGCAAGGAGCTCGTCAGCGCCAAGACTGTCCGTGATGCGCTTGGTCTTGTAGTTCAAGAGGAAGTGGTTACTCATCATCTCCTCACGCTTGTTGAAGATGGCAGTCGTGGACTTGGAGATTTTGATTGTCACCTCCTTGAGGTTGGGGCACTTGGCCAGCTTGAGGAACGCCCAGTCAGATTGAGGACCGCACCAGTGAATCTCAACCTTGCGCAAGTGGTCAAACAGGTTGCTGTTGGCGTTCAGCTGGCCAAGAAGCTCGCAGCAGCAGGCAAAGTACTGAGTCTGTTCGCCGTAGTAAACCTGATAGAACTCGTCTCTCAGGGCTGCTCCTAGAGTCTTGTACATGTTGAACTGCTGCTTCGCCATGTGACCCCACCACTTTGCCTCAGGGTTGGCACAGTTGCAGCGGTACTTGTCTTGGATGCGCTTGAGGGCAGGCAATCTGCAGGCCTTGGAGCTGGTTTCAACGACCATGTGAAGGACCCGTGCTCGAATCTCACGGGGCAACTTCATGAACGGGAAGACGGTGGGAGAAGGGCGATCTGCAACACAGGAGTTAGCTATATTATTGACTTTTCCATGCTGATGTCCTAGGAAACAATCTCGGAAAGAACGTAAAGGTCGTTGAGTTCATGGAGCACTTACTGGCAATCTCCAAGACTTCGGTGCACATGTGAATGAGCAAGGCGCATTCTCTTGTCTCGTCTTGCTTGTTCTTATTCTGCTTTGTCATTCTCTCTGTACACTTTCGGATAGTGTCGATCATGGCCTGACGTCTCTTGGAGCTCAGACGAAGCATCCGGCCGAGCTCAGCCATGTCAATGGTGCCTGTCTTGGTGTCTTCCAGAGCTTGCAGCATCACCTGAGTGTTGTGGCACAGGTCGAAGCGCTTGTGGATGTTGCGACACTTCAAGACGAACCACGAGTCCATGCCCAAGGCCATCTTGTCGGTATGTTTGTAATTCTCTTCCTTTCCTTGTGTACGATATTTGACAGTCAAAATGCCCTTGCTGAACACTTTGACAATATACGCTCGGTGCAGTAAGCCGGGCGTGGAGACGCTGGTATAGCCGGAAAGAAGGAGTCTTGGGTTTGATTGGGGTGCTGGCTGTTGTTGCTTCTGAAATGAAGTGGTTGAGCTTCCGAGTGAATTGCGTTAAACTTATGGCGAATGGCCGGTTGAATTGTAAGGGAAAGAGAATCGTAGAGGGGTCGATATACGATTCTGAAAGGGTTAGAAGAGGTGTCTTTGATTGGAAGAGTTCCGGGAGATGTCGCAGATCGAGTATAGTCCAGAACTGATGAATCGTACTTTGTGACTCTCGTGAACTTGGTTGGTTGTCAATGGAGGCTGTATTGATGATCGCTCCTGCGTAAAGACGACGCACAACTTGCGGTGCTTATCAAATCGACCTACAACTTCATTATCAGTAAAAGAGCAGAGGGTCTTTAGGGTATGGTAGAGATGAACTGCAAGGCTTTGGTATCAGGATGTCATAATATAGTAAGTGCGGTTGAACGTAGAAGAAAATTGAAAGCCAAGGGAAAGTAAACGCCAATACTCGATCTAAACTTACCTCTTGTGACTGCCCAAGGTGTTGAGGAAGACGATAATTTTGTGTTGATAGCCGGATCGGTGGAATGTATATGAAGAAAGGAAGGATATATCAAAGGTCAAGGGACGAGAAGATGTGATGTAGTGTGAACCTCAGTGAGGTGAGGTGTGAAGTAGAAGAGGGCACAACCGAGACCGAGGTGGGTGAGGTATGAAGAAGAAAAGAATTCCTCAAGGATCCCGGGGGTAAATGTTGTAATGCGGTGCGAGCCCCAGTATGGTAAGGAAATAACGTGGAAAAAGGCCGTTGTCGATGCCTACGTCTGTGAGGTATAAAAAGGGGAAGGATTGCTGAAAGCCCCCGGGTGCGGTGGATATAAGCCCCGTGAGTCAGGTAATGTGAGGTGCGTGAGCGGAAGGGTCGAACGAGGTCGTTCAGGGGAGGGCTGAGGAAGGTACGAACGAGGCTATTAGAGGTGTAGCCTGTGCAATCGGGTATTGGCGAGGTATGAATTGGGAAGAAATTTCTCTGAAATCCCAGGTGTAGTTGATTTTTACAAGCCCGTGAGTGAGATGTGTGTATGTGAAAAGTACGAACGAGACCGTGGAGAGGAAGTGGAGGTTCGGGTATCGTGGGTGCTCAGCTGTTGTTCGAGTATGAAGAATCAATGGACTCCTCAGAGGGCCCGAGGGATATATGAATGTGACCGTGAAGTGAGGTGTGCCTGCTGTAGGTCTGGCAGGTGCGAATGAGGGTGGTCAAGCAGAGGGCAGAGAATAGCAAGTGTAGCGCTGAACGCTCAGGAGTCCGTGAGATACAAAGGGCAAGTAACTTCTCAGAGGTCCTGGGTGAGTATATGTGATGTGAATGTGAGGTGCGATGCGTATGTGCACATGGGACAAGTGGGAAGCGGAGTGCTCGATCTGGGGTGTAGAAGGTAGATGGACTTATGCTTTTTCCTTGTTGTGGAAGAAGAAGGATAAGCCGATTCTTATTTTTGTGCTTTTGTGATTGAGGTGTAGAAATGGGAGTGAGGAATGCCTGTGAGTGGATGAAGATGTAGTCTTCCGGTTGAGATGGGATGTGATGCTTTTTTGGTAGGCACGATGGGGTCGCTCTTTCAGGAAGGCAGGTACCTTAAAGTGGGATCGATCTAGGAAGGTGCAGACGATTGAGGGCAGCTTAGCTGTGTGAGATATTCTATTATTTTTTAAAGCACAAGGGAAGGCTATGTAGACTGGCAGCTACGTAGGGTTATTACATTCTCAGGCGAGGCTTAAGCGGACTACACTACTCAACGTTGCTTGAGGTGCCAGATTGAGGGAAGGCAACAGGCCGCCCGGGGGCAAGGAAATCAGTATGAATGTAACAAAAGGTTCATTTGGATGGATAAATGATAATTGAGAGGAGTGCTTCAATGATAACGGGCCTAGTGACATACTATCAAGGATGCTGGACATCTAGTAGTGTATATGCAAGATCAGGATGCAAATTTAAGGTCATGGCGAGTTTAGGTTCATGCCTGACATATGTTGTAAGCAGCTTGATTTATATCCTCAGGTTTAGGTTGAGTTCAAGAGATGAAGAATGCTCCATCACTGAGTGTGATGCGGTGTTCTTGAATTCCGTTGCGAAGTTTCAACTTGACAGTGTTGCTGGATAGCTGTTACATGTATCGAGAAATTCGGCAGTATGATGAAAATAATGAGACCAAATCAATGTGCCTACCGAAGTGGAACAAGCTCGCCTTTTATAAGATGCCTGTACTTATGGTTTTATATGAAGAGTGATCCTCAGTGTCGTATGTGGGGAGCCCAAGGGGTGGAAGTGCCATGTGTTTCTTTTCCCAAGCCAACAGCTTTGCTCGGAAAGTCAACAAATCTTGTGTATTACTTTGGAAACAAGCAAGAGGCTAAAATCGCTAGGATCCGTCTCACTGTTTACAAAAGTATGGAGACCTCGTACTCAAGTTTCGAAATATAGCAAAGGTAGGACTGTAGCAACATTTACTACAGCGGTTCAGGGCTAGACCCATGATCTCATTCTCAGCTTTCTAAGGATACCCATTTGAGTGGCAACTTTTTTTTTGAAGATTCAGTCAATTGACAACAAAAGCAATGGCAAAATGATTGGCAAACAAAGCGATTCCGAGAATGGCCTAGATTGGGCAATTCTTTGTTGACTTGTGGGCAACATGCGAAGCTTTTATTCCAAATGGTACAGACCTCATGTTTGACATCCTTTGTTCAAATCTCTCGGGTCACAGGTGAGGGGAATTGCCACTTGAAACAAGGTGTAATCAACAGAGTAGAATTTCTCGTGTGTATCGTCGACTTCGAGGTGGAGTAGTTCCTGCCTAAGTGCCATCTTACTATATTCAAGTCAAGCAGTATTGCCATATTCATACAGTACTACAAATGCCATTGCCCATTCAAGCTCTCCAATATGATAGTAAAAATCCAAAACTAAGGCTCAAACATAATGGTCTTGAAGACCTTTTCCCCCCAAATCCCAACCCAAAACTCCAAAGCGATGCCGGAAAAGAACGCTTCGAGACGCCGAAATCGGATGTCTCTCGATCCCCGGGATGGGGAGTAAAAATGTATCAGACGAGAACGGATGAGAACCCCTCGGGCCGAGAACCTCAAGATCTCTCATCCTCCTCCGGTACGGACCGGAACTGGCTCTCGCGAGGCAGGGGGTTCATCCGCAGTGGGCTGTCGTCCACATCTACGCTGTTGTGGCGTGATGTGCCGGGGCTGACGTTGATGCTGTAGTAACTTGACCGCGCATCGCGGCTCATCTGACGCTGACCCTTCCCGAATGTCATGGTGAAGCCGTTGAGGATCTCCTGGTGTCTGAGGTTGGTCTCATTGAAGGGCCTCTCGCGCGGGTCGGCCTCCTTCTCCTTGATGGCGGTCTTCTTCTTTGGCTTCTCTTCCTTTGCTGAGCGCCATCCAAATGTCTTTGCGAGGCGGAGAGCTGGGGACTTTGGGTCTGAGCTGGTGCGCTCTCCCTGGCTAGGCTCGGAGATGGACTTGCGGCGGCGGAAGTGATCGCGGATGGCCATTGTGAAATCGTTGATGAGATGAAGAGCTGTTGAAAGATTGTGTTGATGGAAAAGCAGAAGGTGAGATCGGTGGCTGATGCTCTGAGAGACTGCTTGACAGGATGTCTGATATGTTTGGATAGATGAAGACTGATACTGAGGATTTGTGGTATAGATCTGTGTTGACGTTGTAGGCTTTTGGTTTGTCTGAGTGAATTAAAAGAGGAGAATGATGGTAGGGGAGCCCAATGGTATTTATCCAGGTATGACAAAAGCCAAAAGACTTGGCAGTATGGGAGGGGAACGGATGTGGCGATCCCAAAGAATAGCACCGTTGGAAAGACCCAAGATGGTGGGATCCGTGTCGCTCAAAGGACCTTTCCAGGACCCTGCATCGTTGGGGTTGCTCGCTAGCCGCTGCTTTCACTACCCGAGAGGCCATATGCAGGGCAGCTCCCAAGTGGACTACCTAACAATTCTCCAGGCCGATGCTACCTTACGTGCGTGTGTGCTCAAGGTGGAAGGCTTCTTGAATGGCGCAGCGTCCGCCTCCGGCTGTATGCGGGGGTCTTCTTCGAATGCGGGGCGACGTCATTCCAAAAACACCTGGTCTGGTGGCCTGGCCATTGCTCTTAGACAAGCTCCCTCGCTTGTGGCCGATAGTAATGCCACCGGGTCCCGATGTTTCCTGCTCTACTCTGATCCAGATGATCTTCAACGTGGCGGGGTTAAGGTCTTCGACGGTCTCGACCCGGTCTCTAAACTCATTGTTCTGCATTCTGGCCGTCCCAAAATGTGTTCTTTGAGAAAATTTGAACCGTCCCCGATGGTACCGGCCAGGCCGGTTAGCGCTGCAGGCCTGGATTCCCGCCATGTCTCACTTAGTGCCAGGTACTTTAAACTCAATAGAATCGTAAGCAGCAACTCTCGGGCTCAAGGATCGAATAACTGCCCGCGCGTGTGTGTTGAAAGGACATCAATTGGTGCGCTCTATCTCCAAAGACCTAGCCATTTCCGGAACGCCGCTGCCAACACAGTGACAACCGCCGGGCTGCTGCCAGAACCCATGCTAGCCGTCTTCGATTCTGTTCAGTGCCTAATCGAGCCAATTTAGATGTGCAGATGGGGATACAAGCTTAGACAAAGAAGAACCTTGTGTGCGCGCTACCAAGAGTGCGCGGTAATTCGAGTACCCCTGCTGATCCAACGAGGCTCATCGAGATGTGCACTCGGCTCCAAAAACACCAGCGCTGCTAGATCCAAGGCCTCCCAGAGCTGTGAGACCCCATGCCAACGCTGCAGATTCCCAGTCCATATCCTCATCTGGCAGTTCGTCGCCTTCGACAGCAGTGCGGCTTTCCGCAGGGCTCGGCTCGTACGCGTCTTCTGGTGCCTCTTCGGGGTTTACCGTACGCTTCAGGGTACGGCCTTGACGGGTGCTTCTGGACGAAGGTGTCTCTGAAATTGTCATCTCTGCAAACTTATTCTTTTCTGCAGGTTGATTGCCCCTGCGTCGCGTGGAGACTGTGTTGGTGTGGCTGGACGATTCCGATTCCGGCTTTGTTTTGTCACTTCCTCCCAGTAGTCTGGGTGGTGGCTTTGCCTTCGATAAATCGTTCGGAGCGAACGGAGTAGAGGCAGCTAGAATGTCATTTACATTCAGCACACGTGTGGCCGCCCATAAACCTTGGCTGACTCCGCTGAGCAAAACGTCCCATGCCACAGCCGCTACAACAGGATGGTCGGATGCCGATCCCAAGACTTTCCCCAGCGCCGTTGTTGTACGCTCCCACGTCGAGCGTTTCTCTGTGTCAAAAGGCAGGAACCGGCTATGACGATGGTAGTGGGCATTTGGCGCATTGTAAAGCAAAGCAAGTGCGGTGCCTTTAACGTGGAAGGCGAAACTTGCTGTGGACACAAAGCGAAAGAGTTCAGTGAATATGCCGTATGCTCCGTGAGGGTCAGAGTACACTGTGCCCCAACTAGCTGGAACGACGGCGGGAATGACAATGGGGCCAAAGGTCAGAAGTCGCCCAAGGATTGCGATCCGGGCAAATGTCGCCGTGCCTGTTGTCGACGGAGCCCAGTATATCAGAACGTAAGTAAAGCAGAACGATGCCAAGAGCAAGGCCGGGTGCGGCGTCCAATTGATAGGCTTCGCGGGCAGCAACTTCTCGCGCAGGCGTCCTAGTGTAGAGGGGGAATGTCTGTCGTCTGCTGTAGTGGTCGGCGCAGGAGTGAGAAGCAGTGCGAGATAGAAGAGGTTCTGGGCGAACGAGAGGCTGACGAGGTGTGCTAATCCGAGGTAGGCCCAGACAGAAGGGATTCTTCTTCGTGTGCCTTCGACAGCCAACAGCAAGCTCCACGAGACCGTTGCGAGTTCGATTTGCTGGCCCCACCAGAACCGACGAGCTTTCTCGGCGATGATCTCGAGGGCGTCCAAGTGAATTGGGGTGTCACTTAGCCAGCGGCCAATAAAGACTTGGGTCGCAGTTTCGTTGGGGATGACTCCATGATCGCCATAGAAGCTAAGGTTCCATGAGTAAGCCAGACAAAGAAAGTGCAGAAGACGAAACAAACCGAACTGGTGCTTCAACTCCACGCTGGTCTGCCCAAACGCGATATGAAAGTTTTGCATAGCTTGAGGCCCAGTAACTTGCGAGAGACAAGCTAATGAGTGCCAAACTTGCGAACAACGGTGCAAGAGCCGAACGGCGAACAAGTCTTGCTCTTGTTCCTTGAGATGGCGGCAAGTGCTGATATGACCTGTAAAGACTTCGAGCGACAGTGGTGCCGAGAATTGCCACTGCAAGCGCATGGCCAGCCACCAAGCTCAAAGGCAGGTACCTGAATATCACGTTAGAATTGTTGGCTTTCATTTTGATGATCAAACACACTTCACTTCCGGTTCCAAGGGCACCGGCGCCATGTTTGTTTCGGTGAAATGACTAGAGGGCTGATGCTGATTGTGGTGTTGTTACAGGATAATCAGCCACCTTGAACCCGAGGTGAGTGATGTCGACCTCAAGGGTCAAACGATGCAGGTGCAGCGCGCGTCATCATAGCACACACTTGGGCGCGTTCCTTGGAAGCTCACTCGACAGCCTCTGCCTACCGTCGTCAATCACAGCATCGGTATGAGGTGTACAACTACCTCCATTCGGGCAAGATGTGCTGTGTCGTCATGGTAGCGGTACCAAGCTGCCAGGTAGACAGGGGCCCAGGCCCTCTGGCGGGAAGTGGAGCTCCAGCAGCTGCATGTCAAGCACAGACCAGCGTGAGCCGGAGAAACAGAAACGGCGGCAGGGCTAGCGCGGGCAGGACTGCGACCAGCCCCACACCTCACCAACCATAAAAATCTCTTCTTACGATGCGGCCTCTCTTGTCTTCTCTTTTCCTCTTTACTACAATCCGGATCAAATTTACATCGACATATGTTTTTGGTCTGTATGGCGGCTCCGCTATGCGGCTTGCTGAGGGTTGTCCTGTTCTCCTTGGACTTTCTTCCGTTCCCGGCCTCCTAAAGTAAATCCTATGTGAACACCTTTCCTTATCAGCCGAGTATGACGACTCTTCCTGGTATTTGACTGTGGGGTGGTCTCAACATCCTTTTGTAAAGGAACCTGAATTATTAAGAAGGGACCTCCCGGCGCGAAACGACTCGTTTCTGTGTTCCGACCGAACTGAATCTGTGCGCGCAGATGAGCCACATGGTTCAAAAGAGCCGCCTGTTGTTCACTTGCCAAAGTCGAGCAAACCCTCAATTAAAGCACAATATGCTATGTATGGGTGGCCTGGGTCATGAAATCCGACGTTTAAAAAGCCGGCCGGGTACCCCAATAGCGAGGTGCGAGCCCGACATGCGGATTGATTCACCCCGAAGTGTGAAGATTTGCATTCACGACACTATCATGTTGTCGTAGGTTTGCTGTGTGACTAAAGGCGACGCTAGGTTGCTACCTCTCAACATGTATCAATTGAGGCTTTGGAGCCTGCTCAACACGAACATTCTTCCTCCGCAAATTTTGACATGGGAGCGAGCGGGTCTGTCTTGATGGCAGCCTCGACAAAACGCTCCATCTACTGCCTATGGTCACGCCCTCAAGTTGTCAAACGTAGTTGGTGCCTCGACCTCCGCGACCATTCTTCCAGACCAGGAATACGAGAGCAATAGTCGTCAGCGCAAACCCGAACGTCACAAACTGCATAGCCTGGTCTGCGGTTGCCTTCTTGCACCTCTCTAACAAGAAATCATCGGTTATGCCAGGTGCGAAGTACCACTTTCCATCTTGCTTGAATTTTCCACCGTTGATGATATCGTTGTCCCCAATGGCTTTCCAGTGATTTTCGTCACACGCAACACCGCGTAACCCAATTGCGAAAGCCTGCCATCCTGTGAGTAGCAAGTACGTGGTACGATCATTGATAGACTTACGATACCACCACCGAGGAGTAAGACCCCACTAAGGGTATCCGCGGCCATCACTACAAGAGTCGGAATGGTGTCTATGAAAACAGATACCAGGCCCAGCACGGCGACGGCTAGTCCAAAGCCGCCAGTAAATGTGCTGTATTTGGTAGTCGTGGGAGCGTCGCCAATCTTCTGTCCCTTGACGAGGTCGACAGAGAGCCCGAGGACAACGATAGCCATAATGCCCTGTGGAACGCGCAGTGTTAGCTCAACCTAATTACCTAGAGTTCACTGAAGGAGACGAGTGTCTTATCACAAACCTGAAGGGACCAAACGCCCATGCTGATTAGGTTAAGCATCTTCGGAGCTTAAGAGTCTACTTCGTCTAGGGTGTAAGTGCCGTGCTTCTGTGCGAATGATAATCTTTTTTTATATATATAAGTATGATAATAATGCGAGGCAGACGACGAAAACCAGCAACGAAGAAGTACAACCAAGTAGAAAGCGATAGATAGCTCGCTTATATAGTTTGCTCATTCAAAGACGAGGACAGCCCTTGAGCACCTGTGTCACTCGAAGTAGCAGACAATCAACGACCAACACTGATCTTCAGTCGACCCCAAGAGGGCGCAGCAAGGCGTTACTTATTCTGCTCCCGTTTACAAGTGACACATAGATGAAGTTCCTGCGTATTTGCGCCGCTGCACGAGTCACAAAAAGCTCCTCGTCGGCTGCTTGCATATCAGGCAGGCTGCTTTGCCAGCTTCTGCCCGGTGCTACTGTCCAATCACCGTACCACAGGAATTCCTCCCTCTCATCTTGAGGCCTACAGTATGGCCCAGACTTAGGCCTCACAGGCCACAGCGGGCAAAAAGCCGAAGGGGCAGTGAGTCGGTTCCGAGACTGATCTTGCAGAGTCTTGCCCTCGAAAGCATCAAACCAGATTCCACTATACGGAGGTAGTTTCGCAAGAGTTGAGTTGGGAAGAAGTAGCCAAGGGGATGTTCCACAGCTTCTCAAGAACCAGCAGATACTATCTCGCCTTTGCTGGGATGACATGTCGTTGTTTGCCCGTCTAATTCCGGAAACACTGTCTCGGGCGCCTGCCCAAGTCGTTACCTCACCGTGAGTGGGCCCTCCCCACGCCAGTATGAGCACCGGCTTTCCTGCCTGCTCCCGCTTCAAGGAAAATGAAGGATATTAATATATTACCTAAGGTGCCAGCTCCAGTCGTCGAGTTTCTGGCGAGTGCTGACTCATCGGACGAAGCTTAAAGGAACTGCTGCGATGAGGTAAGCCGGAGAATCTGAACTTGAGCTTTCCGAAGGATGGCCGGATAAGTGGGGTCCATCTGAAAGTGCCATTGCAACTGCATCCGTTACTTTCCACTACATTGTAGACGCACGGGCCAAGTCGCGATTGGTCTGCCCAAATTTTTTCGACAGCTTCCATCATCGGCCTGCAAGCCCACATCTCCTGTCCACTGTCCAACCCCGATCCCCGGCTTCATCCATCCGCCACGTCCACAACCTTCGCCATGTCGTCGCTTTGGGATACTCTTTCTGGTCGTAAGTCCTCTCAGAAGGACGTCGGTACTTCTCAGTCTTCACCGGCCCCCGAACCTACAACCACCTTCCAGAATACCCCAGCACAGTTCGACCCTTCAGCAGGATCTGGCGTCGAGTCTTTCCTTCAGAGCTCATCTTTTGCCGACCCCGCGCAACTACACCCCCTCTCTGGACTGAACAAGGACACACTCGAATACCTTTCCCTCGAAGATGCGGCTCTGGCGGATGTCCCTGGCCAGTCAGCCCTCCCCTCCCGAGGCTTCACCGATGACCTTTGCTACGGAACTGGAGTCACATACTTGGCAGCCTTGTCGATAGGAGGAGCCTGGGGACTGCAAGAGGGTCTGAGGAGATCCGCCAACCAGCCGCCGAAGCTGCGACTTAACTCGGTGCTCAACGCTGTCACCCGCCGTGGCCCCTTCCTGGGCAACTCCGCCGGTGTCGTTGCCATTACCTACAACTTCTTCAACGCGGGTATCGGCTACTTCAGGGGCAAGCACGACTCTGCCAACACAATTTTGGCTGGCGCTTTTAGTGGAATGGTTTTCAAGAGCACAAGGGGTGTGCGGCCCATGTTGATCTCTGGTGGTGTTGTGGCCTCCGTGGCCGGTGCTTGGGCTGTAAGTTACCGTCTTCAAAAGTGTATTGGCGTCGCATATCTAATCATTTCCGCAGGTTGTCCGCAGTACTTTCTTCTCTGCCCCCGAGCCTATTACTTCCGAGCATGCCACCTTGTAATTTACGACATAACCTGACGAATTGTCTCCGTTGAACCCCGCCGATAATGATTATTCATTATGCCCATAGATCACATTGGATCTGTGGACGATGATGCTCGCCATTGCGAGCTTCTTCTATCTGTTGTTTGAGTAGGAAATTTAGAGCGCCTTAGAGGAGTCTTGGGCATTGTGACGGACGATCTCTCCTCAAGTGGACCCGTGTACAGTATTTAGGAAGGAGCATTAGAAGACCGCATCACTGGGTGGAAGTGGGCGTTCGGTACCTGTCAAAAAAAGAACAACATTACACGTTTCTTCTACGTCCAATTATCCCAGACGGTTGTTGCCATTTTGGACTGGCCTGCCGGCATGATGGCAATGGATGGGACGTCCTGAGCAGCATCTGACTAGGATGGGCGCTCATCAAGTTGCCGATTGCCTTTCATCGCAACCCCAATGCCGTAGGAGAACATGGGCGTGGAGAGGCAGCAGGCTACGTAGCATTTCTATTTTGTCCGCTTGACTTTAACTCGCGTAACAGCCTCGACGTGGAATTAATCTTCCCTATCAGTTCGGCCAAGACCGATGCGGATGGAGACATCTACAGCGATTCGGCAACTCGCGGCGAACTTGGTCGATCTTGAGCTGGACAATGTACGAGCTAGAGCGAAGTATCTCGATTGCTCTATATGCGACACAGGTTCAATAAGAGTTCACGTATACAACGACGTCGGTGGACAACACTTTCTCCCCTACGATACCTCGTCGCCACTACACAGAGAAGCAAGCTACTTTTCCGAATCTCTCAGCGCTCGAGACCGCGATCTCCAACGGAAGGTTCGGTCGTTGTCGCATGATGGGCTGGTGGCGTTGTACGAAGGTCTGTCGCAGGAGATCGACGAGGCCGACGAGGCAGACAAGACAAACGAGACCGACAATCAAGCTCGCAGCGAAGATAGTGCCGAAGGTCTAAGTCCTTTAAGCGAGCTTGATACCCTTGGGAACGACAAGCGAGCATCTCATCTCTTCCTAAGGTAAAAAAGCCAAAAACATCCGGAACTTTCGGTGTGAACAAACCCGCTGACTTCCATTTGTTAGATCCACGAGGTTTCCCGAGCGAAAATGTCTCGCTTGAGTACATCCTCTCTGATCGTCAGCAAGTCCTTTCACGTGGTTATGATATATCTTGACAAGAATGGCGACTCGATTTCCCAGAAGTCGTCCTAGCCGGGGTGGACCGAATTCGAAGCTTTCGTCAAAACAATGGCTGTATACCGTTACGAGGTCACGACCGTTAGGGGTAGCGTGGAGAACATTAAGCAAAGTTTCCCACAGAAAAGCGACGGCTTCGTTCAATTTAAGCCCGACCCCCCAAAATTGTCATCGTCAGGACGTACCAGACCTGGTTCAACAATCTTGACGCGGTGAATGATGCGTGGGGTTACGTGACGGTCGGCGGCCAGCCAAGTGTTGACATTGCAGCGAACTAGAAGGCCTCGCATGATCTTGGTGGCAAAGATGCCTATGCCTTTGCTGCTATGAAAAAAGTTAGAAAAGCAGAAGGAAAAGACTGCTGGCTTGGCCAAGGTAAGTCAAGCACATCGCGTGGGTTGAGGACCTGGCATTAACACCTCAGTAGCTGTGGCAGCGCAAAGTATTCAAACAGCTACCTGAACTCCTGCAGCTGGTCGGCCAACGTTTGCTTACACCTCTGGTGACAACGTTCACTGCATACAGCTTCTTTCCCCATGACATTGACAGACTCTTGGAAGCTTCTTTTGACAGAGATCTCGAGGACGATGATTGGTCTGAGGATTTCCGCTGATGGATATCTGCCCATTAGTCTTGTTCGCTCGTCTGAGGTAGCTTAGCTACGTATTATCACGAGTATCGATTGTGCTTCGGAGTTGGATGTTCCCATGCCTTGGCCAGTTTGGCATCTGCTTCCCGGTCGTTTTAAATATTGCTACGACGCCCGCGTTAATGATAACGAATTGCGCTGCCGCATCGCGTCTCCTATGTACCCGGCACCAATTCCAAAGATGATGCGATCTTCTTCCTGTATCAAGGAACGCAAAGGCCCCGAGTCATAATCAGAATTCCCCATCCCAAGCGTCACTGGAGTCCAAGGGCCTAGAAAAGGCCTCTGGAGCGGTCCTGCCATGATCAAACATTGCCTCAGACCCCACTCCCGACTGACTTCATCTTTCACTCTTACCACCACCGTACTCGGACCCGAATCTCCAAGCAACACCATTGCAATCCATTCGAATTTCCATTCCGTCTCCCAACTTTCTTCCAGGTGTCGCCAAAATGTGCGGATGTTGGCCTTTCTCGAAGGCACACTACGACAACGAAGACCCGCCCCTTGTCTATCGCTTCGGCTGGGATGGCCAGAGATACGCTGTAGATGTTGTAAGTAAACTGTCTCTTAGATGCTTCTTGCTTTCTGTTCCCTTTCTTGGCATCCCAACAAGGGCCGTTGTTTCCCTTCATTTGCCTAGTAAGCACACGAAAGGTCTTGCAATGGCCTGCCCCCTTTTCTTGTTCCTCGGTCTCAGAGACAGAAAGCCGGCGAAGGCCTCACTGGAGCGGGTCATTGGTATCTCCAAAGCTTCAAGCCGCAGTGATATCTCAAGCCGCATCGGATCTCAATGCGGCTGAGTGAAGAGATCAGAATGAGTTCTCGCCTTGGGCCACTCTTCATATCTCTTCTCCTTCACATCATTCTTCTTATCTCTTTGATCAACTTCATCTCTTCCCAATCCACCCAAGACTGTGATGAGGTGAGCAGTCCCAGCTCATCAAAGCCCTCCATCGACAAAGGAGTCTGGTCTCCTGGCATTTGGTCCCTGCCCCTGGATTTTCGAGTTTGATACACCAATCGAAACAAAACGACCTCGACACTCGAGAAACAAGGATTCGGCCTCGGGTTTAATATTCAATCGAGTCCAGCAAATCCGCCATGAAGTCTCCCAAGAGCAAGTCGGCTGCCAACACCACCGGCCCGCAGCAGGTGCGCTTCACGGAGGACGGCAGCAACCCAGGTGCCTCCTTCCCCGTTACCCAGGGAACCGACACCTCAACCGCTCCTGCCTTCAATACCCACGAAAGCGACGCGGGTGCAGACAGCGGTGTTTTCGTCCACACCTCGACCAATCCCTCTGCCTCAGTCAATCTTGGCCCTCACTTTCCTCCCACACCCTTCGGTCAGGCTGCTCACCCACACTCCAACCCTTTCATACCCTTCACGTCGCACCCCGCCTACATCACAGAGACCAACTCGTTCGCGCCTTTCGGCAAATTCAATCCGTACGGACTTTCCGCGCCTCCCTACGTCAACATGACCGATTACCAGAATGTCGCTCCTCCCGCTGGTGGTCTTCACTTCCAGCCCCCGGTTCCCGACACCACCTACGGCCCCATGCAGCACGTTTACGTGCCTCGCTTCGATAACGGAATGCCTCCGGTCTATCAAGTCGGTCTCCCTCATGCTCAAGTTCTGCCAGTGGCTTCTCTTGTTGCCCCGAAGCCTGCTCCAGTTCTGCTTGGCGCGCCTCTTATTTTTGTTCATTATTATGCAAGTCCCCAGCACACACACGCTGCGATTGCTTCCTGAGCCGAGCGGCTTATGTGATTCATCGGGCACCTTCGTTTGTTTGCTTCACCTGGCTGTCTCACTTTCATCTCACCGAGCTCACCCGAAGTTCCGAGTAATAGTTTGCTGACTTGAGATTGTAGCAGCCCCCCGCCAACAACGTCACCTATATTGGCCAAGGCCCCCCTCAGCCTCCCATCATCATGGCCCAGCATCCTGCTATGCACGCTGGCATGAGCATGCACCCTCCGATCATGCTTCAGGCTCCTCCCGCCGGTTTCAGCGGCCCTCCCATGTTCCAGAGTGGCCACATGGGTATGAACATGCCTCCCAACATGTGCGGAGGTGGAATGCCCGTCTTCCCAGGTAATACCAATCTTCCTCCGGACGTCACTGGATATGGCAAGACTGCTGGAGAGGTCGCCATGGAGCAGGCCCAGTTTGCCTATTCCAATGGCCTCTTCGAGCCCCAGGACTTCAAGCCTGCGGACGATGACCCATCCCGCTACTATCCCGTTCGAGAGGTTGACGGTAACTGGACTCAGCGCAATCGTTTCACTATTGACAACCTTGGCGATTGCCGTTGGTATGTTACCAATGAGGGCTACTTCTACGCCGTCCGTTTGCCCAACTGAAGTATTCCTTCATCATCGGTATTTCACCTCATCAGAAGGAGATGAGATGGATCGCTAACGTTCTAAGCAAAGTCAACCCAGCAGTGAGATAGCTTGGAAGACCTCGGGGTAAATGGTGAAACGAAGGAGATGTTCTCGTGAGTACGCGGAAAGGAATGAGGAGAACCCCATGTCTGATCATAGTAGATGATTTCAACTTTCCGGCAACTTGCCCTCCACACCCCTCTAGCCCGTCATTGGTCCACAGGTCGACAGGTAAGGCACGCAATCTATAGAAAATCTATGACCACTAACAAGATATTAGACCGCTCATTAGAACGAATTATCTCTCTGCTTTGAGACGTTATTTGTCGCCCAAGGATGATATGTATACCAGACAGGGGTGAATCGGGTGAATGGGAGAGGAGGATGAAGTCAATGATTTCCTATGTCAACAGGCCAGAGAATGCTCTTGTCCAGGCCGCCAAGGCTGCGGTCAAGGTCAGGATTGGAGGCAGCTTTCGATACGCGGTTTGGATGTAGGCCAATATGTCTATCCCTGGGGTCACTTAACGATGGCTCGAAAGTGGCCAGATGCCTCGTTCCGAGCCTAGGTAGATTGCGAACCCCATAAGAATGTTTCCGAGACACTGAGTTTGCCTAATTATTTTGAATGCGTGACAAAAGTAAAGCGATGTGACTGAGCGCGCTATTGCAGCCTATGAGGTATGGTCGAGGGCGCCAGGGAATCACTTCCCCCCTGAATTCAAGGCCATGATGCCACAAGAGAGTTGGATCCTTTCTTCTTTGCCCACTATTGGGGGTAATCCTATTGAATGATTGGAAATTTGATTTATTTCCGGAGTCGATTAGCACTGGCTACTTTACCTTAGGCAGGTACAAAGTCGGGCGGTTCCTTCCCAACCTGAGCAAGGTAGTCACTTTAACCTGTCTTCACCTACCTTTTTAGCCTCCACGCCCTCTGGCATCCAATTGGTCCATCAGTGCCGGAACTTCATTCAAGCTCTGTGCTTTCTCTTCCTGGAAGCTCCTTACTGGATTCAATCAAGAGAATCCCGCAATATATTCGTTTACGACCGAGCCGCATCCACAGTACAGAATCTCTCGCCGACAGCATCTCGGTAGTCAACCTCCACCATGACGCGTAACACACGCAGCTCTACCCTCTGCGAGTGGGCACTTGGCGTTAGCGTCGAGGAATACTGCAACTCTATTGAGCGGCGCAGACGCAAGAAGTCCAGCAGCAGACAGCGTATTTGCGTCGAGATTTCCACTGACGACGAATCCGAGGAGGATACTGTCAAGATCACGTACCCGCGCGCCAATCGCAACAAGGAATCTTTGGGCTCCAGCTCCAAGAAGGTCCGTTTTGAGAAGGCCTCGCCGAAGCCTGCGCTGAAGGCTGTAGACTCAGAAGCTGAGTCCAAAGGTGATTCCAGAACGGCCACGAGTGCCGGCATTCTATACGAAGAAGATCCAACTAACCAAGGAACAGACAAGAAGAAATCGGAGAAGACAGATGACACATCCGAATCCGAGTCGGAGGCTAAGTCGAAGAAGAAGAGAGGTGTCAAGGCCGCCAAGAAGAAGGTAGTAGATTCTTCGTCTGAAAGTGAGACAGACGAGGCTGAGGAGGAGACGCCGGCACCTCTCAAGAAGAAGACACAAGAAAAGACGAAGAAGGACAGTGTCAAAAAGTTATCCAAGACCAAGGACAGCGCTACTACTCCAGCCGATACCGAGCCCAACAATGTCGGCCCTACCGTCAAGAAAGTCCGAAACAAGAATGCAGGAGTAAAGACGAACGAGACCAAAAATATCGACAAGCCTCAGAAAGTAATGCCCGAGGCGGCGTTGTCTCCTCACCTACGCCGACCCAATCTCATTATGCCCATTCGCGCGGAGGTCGTCCAAGTTGAGCATACCATTGAGGGCGTCGAAGATCCTCGACCCAACGCTTTCCACGACCCTCAACACGGGGTTGTCCGGGTCTATCATGGACCAGCCTACGGTAATCCGTACGGCTTGCTCTATCCTGCTCGCGACCCAAACAAGGCTCCTTTGCCGATGGGCGTTCCCCATCCCCTGCAAAACCCCTATTTCTACGGCTTCGCCAATCCCTCAAACCCCGGAGATAACCACTTCAAGGGCCAGTCTCCATGGGGCTCTATGCCCGTCACTTGTGTGCCTGGAGGGCCGCCAGTCATGGCAGCAGTCGACCCGATGCAGATGGGAATGCAGATGCCTCCGTGGTGGGTTCCCATGTCTCCTAAAGGTCTTTCGCCAAAGGGGTCTCCAAAGCCTGTCATGTCGGGGGCCATTCCAGTAGACGCGGCATCAACAACAGGTGCCAAGAATAAGGAACAAGGATGGGATACCAACGTCGGTCCTCAACAGACCAAGGCCGCTTCACCTTTGACAAAGGTAGCGAGTCCCAATAACGTGGCTCCTGCTTCTCCTATCAATATCAATTTGACGGTGAATCCAAATACGCCGTGGGCTGCCTTTGCTAGCGACCTCAGCAAAAAGTCTACTCCGAACAAGAATGGATCGCAGAATGGAAGCAAGATCAACGGTGGTGGGTCTAACGGAAGCAAAAACTCTTGGGGATCGAAGAAGACCGCAGACTGGCAGCCCTTGGGCAGTGGCCAGCATCCTGATCTTGCTTGGGGCAACACTCCCACAAAGAGCCAGGGAAGCAACAATTGGAGTAACAAGGGGAGTAACAAGGGAAGCAATTCGGGCTGGACGAAAATCGGAGATGCGAACAATGATTCTTGGGGAGCGACTGGGGGCAGTGGAAGCAACAGTGGGTGGAACACCACGAACACTGGACAGGCCAATGATCCTTGGGGGACATCCGGCATCACTCAGAGCAACGACGCTCAGACAACTTCGGGCGGTGACGGTTGGACAGCGACAAATGGTACCGCTTGGGACAATACCGACAACATGAACAAGGATGGATGGGGAACCTCCAATACCCAAGCAGCCGATCCCTGGCCCAACTCTGGAGGCGACTACAGCAACAACTGGGGGACTGGATCGAATCATTCTAACTCGAAGAGGTCGAATAATAGCCAAAATGGTAATGGGAGCAACCGAAGTGTCAGCGGTCAAGCCAAGGTTGCTACGAACTGGGATGGCCAGGGAAACAACGTTGGCTACTCAGGATCGGAACGTAAGGTGTCAAACAGCTCGAACAAGTCTAGCAAGTCGAAAAAGACTTCACCGCCGCCACCCTCAACGAATGCTGGCTGGGACAACAACGCTGAACCTTCGACCAACAGTCCCGTCGGTAACTCATCCAACAAGAGCAACGGAAACAAGAACTCAAAGAATACGTCCAAGGGCGATACGTGGGCGACTACTAGCAATTCGGCCTGGACAACAGACAACAATGCTGGCCCAACGACCAAAAATAGCCCCCACAATTCCCAATCATCGAAGAAGAGCTCAGGAAGCAAGAGGGAAAAGACTGATCAATGGGTTTCGGCTGGCAGCGGCGCCGGATGGGGCCCCGAGACCACAAGCGGCGAGGTCAACTTTGGCCCGACGGCGACCGAGATGAGCAAGACTTCGAGCAGCAGCAAGAGTATGCCGGGCGCTTGGGATACCAATATCCCTCCTTGGGGAGACCCGACATTGGCGCAATCGACAGGCGGCGCGGCAGACCAATGGTAGAGGCGGTTTTGGCGAAGCCGAGTTCGGGGGGAGCTCTTGAATGATACTGCAGCAAGAGAAGCAAAAAAGGCAGTCGGCTGGCGGGAGTATTTGACAGCAGCCGGTATATTTTTTTGGGCCCGAGGGATCTCGGCGTTCTGCATCTTTTGGTGCGTTTTCCCAAGTAACGAGGTTACGGACTTTGACGAATGCATTATCTGGAATGGCTTGGGAGGGGGAGTTGCAGGTCGAAGAGTCATTGAGTTTTACAAGCCCAGATTGTTTTACCCGCACGGCAGGCGCACGGGACATTGCAGCTTTCACCTGAGGTCTACATCAGCTGGAGGACAAACTACTTGGCACCGGAATTTGACATAGATAGATCAGAAAAAAGACACTGAAACACAGGTGCCGGTCAAAGAGTGAGAGTGGATAATTTGCCAATGGCTGCAATCTACAAGATATGTGCTACCTAAGTTCTGGCATCCCATCCACCGACGAGAGATGTTCCAGGTTAAGGGAAACGCTCACTCGCCGCACGGAGATGGGAATCGAGGGGAAAGAAAACGAGTGGACTGTTCTGGCAATGCTGCCCAGACAAGAAAGGTAGGCGAATCAAAGTGAACACTGGGCACGAAAGTTACTGACACCGAGATGCCGATAACGTCTCCCCATTTCTCCGTCAGATACGCATTTACTCGTCCTCCTCGCTCGACTCCTCCTCCGAGGCCTCCTCAAGCCACTTGATGAAGGGCTCAGCGGCCTTGCGGACCTTCTTGGAGGTAGACAGGTCGGTGTACTTCTTGCTGGCCTTGGTGCCCCACTTGACGGCGACCTCCTCGCTGAGGAGATCGTGGTTGTAGTACAACTGGAGGATCTTGACAACCTTGTCAAAGATGTCGGAGTGCTCCTTGGCGAGCTGGCCGATAAGGCGCTCGGTACCACCGAGGAGGGCCTTCTCGTGGCGCTCAGAGATGACGAACTAGAGGATGAAATTAGTCAATGGGTCACATGAGTCATTGGTCCAAACAATGTAAACATACCTGCTTCATCATGCCGGCGCGCTTGGGGATCTGGGCGAGAATGTTCTCGTCGAAGATGGTCTGCACCAGAACCAGGACGGAACGGTGCTTGGTCTCGATGCCAAGCTCCTTGGCCTTGACAAAGATGTCAATCGAGTCGACCTTGTCCACACTGCCCTTAGCAGTGGCCTCATCCTGGATCCAGGTGCCAAACTCGTCGTAGACGGTGCTGCCGGAGGCCTCGCCATCCTCGTCCTCGTCATCGCCCATGTTGAGCTTCTGCTTGAATTCACCAGGGAGCTGAGCCTGACGGGCCTTGACGGCCTCCTCGCTCATGTCGACGGCCCACTCGTGCTCCTGGGTCTCAAACTGGTCAATCTCGGGAGCCTCCTTCTTCATCTTCTCCAACTCGTCATCACTACCAACATCCTGGTCGTCGGCGTCGTTGGAACCGTTGTCGGATCCTTCTCCGCCGCTTCCGCTTCCCTGTCCGTTCTCCTTGGTACCGTTGGCCTTCGCGCGGCGGGCAGCCTTGCGCTCGGCCTTGTCCTTCTTGCCCTTCTTCGGCTGGTTCTTCAGAATGTAACCGCTAAGCTTCAGACGGAGGTCGACCTCAGAACGCTGGCCACAGGCCTTGCAGTCGAGGAGAATGCGACCGTCCTTGATGTTGACGTCGGTCTCGGGGTTCTTGCACTTCTTGCAGAGAACGAAACGGTTGATGAAACCATCGAGGTGGTCTTGCAGCTTAGCGGCGTTGTGGGAACCGTTGATAATCCAGCGGTCGTCGGCGGGGTCAACGTTGGTCTGGGCACCGAGCTCGAAGCCGAAGTACTTGATGACATAGGCACCGGGACGGGCGAGAGACTGAGCGACACTGCTCAAGTTGACGACAACGGTCTTAATACCGTTGCCCTTGCCCTCAATCTTGGTGACGATCTTTTCCATCTTGTAGCGATAGAAAGCGTCCTTGACGTCGCGACGAACGTTGATGAGGGAAGCCATGATTGCGGTGTTGGTTATAGGTGGACTGAAGAAGAGTCTTGGAAGAGGATCTTTTGGTTTAGGAGGTTATTTGGATCTGTAAGGTAAAAGCTCGGGATGCGAAGCTGGTAGTGCTGTCGTTTGGACGGGCGGGTAGCATGAAGAAGCCGGAGGTCGTGATAGTATAGGATCGACGGATTGGCGAGGAAGCTGGTAGGGGAGCAAGAAGGCGGACTCAATGCTCAAGGGTTCTTTTGATGAACATAGGGTAAAGCGAGACTAGATCGTCTTTGCTGTCGAGAATTCATGAACTCCTCTGGGTTCGGGGATTTCAGCCAACGGAACTGATGTTGGGGCTACAAGGTTTCGCTATGCGAAATGATTGCAGCTTGGGGACGAAGTGTCTGAAGACGGTGGTATTGTCGTGCTGATACATAAACTGCTATGTGGCTTGTACCGCGTGAGGGTGGTGTTGTATGTTCAACTCTCGCGGAAGAAGACTCGGTGGTCGGAAACGCGGCGAGAGAGGATGCTACTGGCGATAGTTGACGATACTGTGGTTGTTTATGGCGGGGTGTTGGGTGGTGTGGAAAGTGGCAACGTTCTCAGGAGAGAGAGGGGTGGAGGAGGGAAGAGGTTTTGTACGCTTGGAAGATTTTACCGCGGAGGACGCGAGGATGCAGAGATGCCTAAGCAGGGCGGTGAACTGCGATTGCGAAAAGGTGGGTTTAAGATAATTGCGAGATGTGCTCGATGGATCTCCGAGCGGAGGGTTTTGTGCGTTTTTTTTTCTTGTGGGTGGGAAGAGGAGAAAACGGAGATGACTGGGCAGTGAGCGCAGAGTTTTGGAAAAGGCTGAGGTGGAGTCAGAGGGTGGTGGTGGTGGTGGTAGGTAGTACGGAGTAGTGGTGGCGGCGGCAGCAGGACAGGAAGTTCGGAAACACATGAAAAGTCCCAGAAAGAAATGCCTAGAAATAAAAATAAAAATCCCTGGAAAGAATAAAGTGGATCTCCCTGGGAACGCTTGCCTACGAATTCACTGCCGCCTCAGCACCTCATTCACTACCTTAAGGTACGCCCCCCCAAAAAGGCACTCAAGGTTTGGGCGCTGGGGGCGGGAAGTCTGGCGGGCTGGCAGCATGGCACGCTGGCTGGCCCTTGCCTTGTGCCTGTCAGCGTTCCGCCACCAGTCAAAAAAAACCCTGGAGCCGTTCTGTCAGACAGTCAGAACAACCAGGAGCGAGCCTTAAATCCGAGTTTGAGGTCGTTGTTCGTTCGCCTGCCCCCGCGGCGCCACCGGACCAGTCCAGTGTCCAGGAAGCAACACGCAGCTGCTGGGCAGCCAGTTCCACTTGCTGCCTTGCACGTATCCCGAGGTTTCTTTGGCCTCAATTTTCATTGTTGCTGTGCTTTGTGTCGTTCCCCCCCCCCCCCCACACCATCATGACACCCGAAGTAGACGTTTGGATTTCACAAGGCATCGGGACGACAGCGACCCCAAACATTTTGTCCTCTCTCTTTCTATCCGTGTGCTCTTGCAACCCTCATGGGTGTTTCGCACTCGTTTGTTTCTCGAATGATTATTCCAACACCTCCAGCCTTCATCAGGCAATACTTGAGACAGCAAGGGGGGGGGGGGAGGCCTAAAAGCCTGGCGCCGTTTCCTGGTACCATTGGCATTTGAAAGGGGGGAACCCGCGACAGCTCCGCGCCGGGCACGGGCCAATCAACGGCCTTTCCCGCCTTCGAGAAAGCGCAATTCGCACCGCAATTGTGCGGGAAAGGTCAAGGAAGCTTTCCAAAGGATCCGGGGCAGCCACGCAGCAGAGGACGGGCAACATAGGTAATACTAAAAATAAGCGACAAAAAAGAATACCTAGCGACACCTAACATGGGGAATAGGAATTCCCGTTTCGCCATCAGGTGGATCCAGTCTTTGCAGCATGCAGCATGCTGTCCACCATTCCTTTTGCTCGCTCGCCTCGCCTAACGCCGGCTCACAAAGCCGAGCCAGTCATTGCCATGCAAGTCGTCACTCGACTTGCAGATTGCCTTAAGTTGGCCAAGTTATGGATGTATTCAAAAAGCAGGGCAGTTGGCAACGGAAAGCCTGGCTTGTCTACGTAAACATGTGTGGTCCCATGGAACTCCTACCCACACAGGGACGCCGCACAACTACGTACATTCATGAATCACCACGAAATCTTTCTGGCACGATGTGACTTGGTATTGGCCCTCAGGCCTCTACCATGCCCATTTCAACCACATTTGCCAAGCTGTCTCGTTTGTCGAGGCACGTTGGGTTTTTTTTTCTTTTCTTTTCTTTTTTTTACTGATTCAGCATTCCTGCCCCAGAGCCCAGATGCCACAAACGCTACCTACCCGTGCTCCAGTACCGGAATGATCAAACACTTGCAGAAACGCCCAGGCGCGATATGCCTTCCATACACTTTGCGCCAAATGCAACACATTATGCAACTTTGAAATCTCACCGTTATTGCTCCCATCGAAAACCTCATCATTCCTGCTTCTCGCCAACGGGAACAAACTGCAGCAAGCACTTCTGTTCCAGGGGTCGCGAGGAGATGAGCTGGTCCGACATGGCCATCGACTCCTCCGACATTGACGTCTCAGGAAGCGTCGTGTAACGGGTGTAAATGTCCGTCAATAAAGTCTTCATCTCGGCGAGCGCCAGACTGGCAGTGCCTTGTTAACATGCGAGGTCTCAACTCGGGATCATGGGAGAGGTACTCACTGCTTGCCAACACATCCTCGGCCTCCATTGGCAAACGCAAACATTAGCCGCTTCCTCTCGGCGTCACCCGTTGGCTTCATCCACCGATTAGGGTTGAACAAGTCGGGCTCCGGGAACACTTCCTCGTTGATGCGATGGATGGAATACGCCTGGCAGCTGACCGTCGTCTTCTCCGGGATGGCATACCCGTCAATAACCCGCCCGCCCTGGGGCACATAACGTGGCAGGGACATTGGGATAGCTGGAAAGCACCGCAACCCTTCCTGCACAATGGCATCGAGAAACGGCAACTTGTCGAACGCGACTCCCGGGTTCTCCCTCAGCTCGCGGCGCAGCGTCTCCTGGAAACGCAGGGACCGCGGCTGCGAGAGCTCCCACATGAGGAAGCACAGCCCGTCGCCCGTCGTGTCGATCCCCGCCGCCATGTGGTCGAGGCACTCGCCCGCCATGTCGAGCTGGTCCAGTCCCTGGCCGGCCTTGTCGTGCAGCCGGCTGAGGAGCGTGAAGGCGGCCGGGTCGGACTTTTTGCTGGACTCGATGACAAAGGTGTCGGCGAGGGGCGTTTCGCGGGGCTTGGCGAAGAAGTATAGGAATCGAGAGAGGAGCTTGTGCAGCCCAGGACTATAGTGCTGAACAAGGCGATCTGTATCATCGTCGACGGTGAGCCCACTTGAGGTGCATGCAGCAGGCATATTGACCCGTGTACTCACTTTGCAGGCTGTCATCAGCGGCAACCTGGTGCATCATTTCCTCGTCCGCCTCGTTCTCGAGGCAGTTACTGCCGTACGGATGGAACAAGTGATGTGTAACGCAATCACAGGCGTAGGAGTGAAGACTCATCTGCAAACGCAGTCAGGCAACCGTCTGGAGAGTTGGAACATGGCCTACGTACGAATATGTCGTGGCTCTTGCCCACGGACTTCTCGCACAAGTTGATAAACTTTTGCGACCTCTCCTGGATTCCGCCTAGGGGTACAGGTCGCAGGACATTGCTGTTTGCGTAACGATCTGCAATGATTCTCTTGCGCTTCGCGTGCTAGAACATATATCGTAAGTTGCTATTCTACCCCAAACTTGAGTCTCATCCGGGGGGCCCTTACGTCTTCCTTATTCAGCGTTGTGAACATGGTCCTAGTAGTGTAAGCTTTTTGTTGTCCCTATTCAAAACCAAGGTCCCTTTTCACACCTTCGTCCATAGACTTTAAACAAGTCATAAAACTCCGTCTTGTCATAGCCGCTTCCTCCAGAGCAATAAATCTCCTTGACGGCTTCGTACGATGTAAACGAGACCTCGTTTGGTGCGATCCGGACAACTGGGCCATAGTGCTGGTGGAGCGCATGAATGTACTTCGTCCTGGTTGCGTGTAGCTCATGCCATTTCAAAAGGAGGGAAGTGAAGGCAGATATCCTCGGGCCGGGAACTTTCCACAACGGAGACAGGACGCAGCGAGTGAGATACGTTAAAGCGAGGACAGAGAATACTGCTCCCAAGAAGACGGGAGAAAGAAGTAACATTTTGTAGGCCCGTCACTTTTACACCACAACACGTAAGACAGTTGCTCTGAGAAAGTGACGGGGTGAGGTAAACGTCGGGACGCAGGTCTCTCGAATCATGAGCGACGTCCGTTCGTCTTATCAGCTCCGTTCCGGGCCCCGATAGCGTTGGTCAATCAGAGGGTTTCGATTCGTAAATCACCAGCCAAGCGCAGGCGCCGATAGGGTACTTTAGCCCGAGAACGGGGCGCTCTGGTAAGGATAGCCCACTGAAAGCCCCCAAATGAGACCGTGAGGGGCAGGGCGTCAACACAGATTACCCCTCCATAACTAAGGTATACGGCCGGTGATGAAGGGCTCGATATGGATGGGTTGGAGAAGACTTCTTGTTCTCGCGAAGCCGGAATTTGGTACGATATCAGATATTTGATTTCAACTCATGTTTTCCTACGCCATCACCGCCGCCGCCCAACATCATCTCGTGAGACGCACCACCCTCAACGCCTCGCCAATTGTCACCTCGTACTAATACACCCAGCTCAAACCCGCCCACCAAGCAAACCTCAAAACAAGACTCAAAAAAGTGCAGGTTATCCCCTCATCTTTCACAGCTCATCCCGTCCCTTAGTGCCCTGCTTCGACTTGTCATTCGAATTGCCCCCGAACAAGCCGGTCAACCAAGACATACCAGGAATCGACAAAGTGCCTGCCGGGGGATACTCCTTGCCGTTGACGGTGACCTTGGGCGTGCAGGTGCACCACTGGTCCTCGGGGACGCTGCTCAGCGCCGACGGGATGTGTTGGCCGCAGCCGCGCCAGGTTGCCTTTGCTATTGGATGCTTTTAGTTTTCATGATTCTACAAGGTATGTTACGAGATTTGGTTTGTTGTCTTACAGCAAGTAGAGCAGGTGACTCCGAAGCACATTGTGGATGAAAGTAAAGGTGTTGGTGAAAGGGGGATGTCGGTGCGGGTATCGAGTTCAAAGAGTCGGCAGCGTGTTATGTATGAGTTGGTACGAAACTTGAAGTCAAGATTATGTTTGAGATAGTCTTTTTAGACGTTGACCAATGTGATAAGGGCTGGTCTAGCTACGAGCTCACCTGGGATTAAGTATTCGCGGTGTCCGTGATAGCATAATCCACCCACTTGGGGTCGGCGACCTGCATTGAGTATCGTCACGGGCGCAGTGACCCCGATGAAGTGGGTCTCGGAGGGGTATCGCCGACCTCGCTCCCTATTCCGGGGAAGTGGGGTGCTATGGAAGGAGCTCGGGCTTGTTCACACACTTTGGAAGTTTCTGACCAAGCTGAGACCAGTATTGCTTTAGTAATCTCGTGAAACACAATTCAATCGCCATCTCGGGAATGCCGCTTGTAAAATGCATTTGGCCATGAGTGAAGACAACTATCCCTCTTAACTAAGATAAGCTATGCTGAGGTTCATGCGGTCCGTCCCGAGTCTGACTTCATACTTGCTGGATGAACTGAGCCACACGCTCTGCCAGCCACCGCTGTGACTCCGGGTTCTTTACAGTGTGGCTTGCTCCGGGAATCAAGCCAGACAGCTCGTTGACCTTGGAGTTTGTCTTCTTCCACAGATCTATCAGAGCTTGCTTGTCGATCTTGGCTGGCACGAACTCGTCTTCTGCAGAGTGTAGGACCATGACGGGCTGCTGGAAACGATTCCAGACCTCGGAGACGAACGATTCCTCGAGGTCGGATGAAAAGTAATCATCATCACCTCTACGATTAAGATCAGCATTCCGTTCACCTCATCCCGTAGATCTAGCATTTATGGCCACTTACCCCTTAGCCGCCAGAGAATGCCAACGGTAGGCCGTCATGGGTGTCGAGAAGAAGCTTGGCACTAGATCTTTGGGCATCGCTTCGGTCTCTTTCCCAGCGGAAATTAGCTTCTCTGCGTGCTCCAAACTCTCCTTCAACCAGGCAGGTTTGACAAAGTCCTCGATAGACTCCCGGTCAGATGCCGGGCCTTGCATGATGAAGCCATCCACAGGGTCCTCCTTGTGTTTGGTATACTCCATACAGTCCTACCATGGTTAGTTGGGTCCTGTGAACATTCAAGACTATTACAACGGCATACCTGGCATCCAGTTGAGTGGCCCATCATGACAATCTTCTTCTTTCCGATACCTCGGAGATACCTCACCAGAGCCGAGATATCCTCGACATCGTTTTTTAAGCTCGAAAAGCCATAGCCAGAAAAGGAGCTCCTCATCCGAATCTCAAATATAGACCAATCTTGTGCCGCCGTCTCGAGATGATTGGCTATAGCTTTGGTGTAGCCAACAGTATGAGGCCCATCTGCGAGACCTCCTATGAAGAGAAGGGCGTTTGATGCTCCAGATGGGCCGATCTCATAAGCGCTAGAATGAGAAGTTCGGGAATCGAAAGGATGCACCGTGCAAGAGAAAGGAGCTGGGGCCATGGTGAATTACTGAAGACCTTCCTGACAGGATAATGGCTGTTCGTGAAATTCGATCGTACTTTCTAGCGAAAAGCTACTTTCACGACTGCTTATCAGAGATTATGTGAGTCTTGAGATGCACTTAGGTTGCTTCCTCACAAGAATTAAAATTGACGTAACCTGGTGGAGGGGAAGCGCTCTGGTGCGGGCAGCTCTGTTGCGCTGTTGCGGGGCTGCCAGCTTCCCTTTTAGCGAGCCAAAATCACCAAAGGCCCTGGACAGTCGACCGTCAGTGGGGCTTATCGCCGAGGGACGTTGAAAGGAAGCCACCCGATTGGACCTACTTTAGGAAGGTATGTCCTGTCAATCTTTCTTCGGATGGTCATCTCAGGCAGGCGTTTCCATAGTCACAGTTGGGTTGCAAAAGTGAACGACAGAGCTTCCCTCTTCAACTACCAGTAAATACGCGAATCTTCACTACTTTCTCTTTACCTTACGCAAGACAGATCTTCGCAAGCCGCGACCATAGACTGTTCGAGACCAGATACATCTTCACCGTGAAGTCACGCGCCGCTGGAGGCTGGTGGATACACCTGCCTTCTGCCTCGCAATGGCGACCAATCCCGCGAATGCGAATCCGGCCCGGAATGAGTTCTTCCAGCAGGTCCGTATACCTTGGAACGTATGGCTCATATGCTGACCTGTTCAACCAGCTCAAACCATGCTGTGTCTCGATTAGTCAGCTAGCAATTCGACAACAAGGAGATTCGTCTACCTTCAAACGACTCTCTGAGTTGACTGACGAGTTGTACCGCATTCTCAACGATCAAGTCAATAGAGATGTCACCGTTCTGGATTCAAAGCTTGCTGATTACGTCTTTTTCCCGCTCTCTTCTATCTTCCGCAGTCACGATCAGTACCCCAAGCGCTTAATCGAGCTTGCCATCAAGTGTCTTACCGTTATCATTATTCATGGCTGGAAGTCCAACATCTCGCCCCAGATCTTGCAGCAGCTCCTCATACTTCTCACGTTCATCGTTGGAGGAGTGCCTGGCCAAGAGAGAGAGCACGACGTGCCCGAGGAAACCGAGCTTGAATCGCTGAGAGCATTGACTGCTCTTGTTACCGTGGCTGGGACGTCCAGCACAGCAGCAACGGCTCTGACCGAGGAGAAATTGGTGCCAACTCTGGGCCATACCATCACGGTACTCCTGGGGTGCGCAGCGGATGGAAGAACGTCATCTATTCAGCTTGAGGCTCTGCGTACCCTTAGCTGCTTCTACACGAGCATCAAGGACCATGCCGCCCTTGCATCGTTTCTTCCTGGCCTCGTCTCTAGCCTGACAAAACTTCTTGCCAAGCCCCAGAGAGAGAAGACGCGAGTCTTGGTCGGTTCTATCCAATCGTTGGGACTAGTGCTAGTCAAAGTTCTTGGCGATGTCAGAACCCGGAGCATCACCGCAAAACTGAACTCAGATACTCCAACAGAGGCCGAACAAGGGGGTGTACTGAGCCCATCATGGCTCAACGCGACAAAATCACAAATCAAGCTGGCTTTGGCAACAGTCTTGAAACTCCGAACAAGCGATAATCCAGACGTACGCGAGGCGCTGCTAGCATTCTGCCTTGTACTTCTCGACGAATGTCATACCTCCCTAGAAAATTCCTCCTCCGTATTGGTGGAGACAGCCATAGTCCTCTCGCCAACACATTCAACGACGTCTTTGACCGGTACAAGTCTTCAAGATTTAGCCATCATCTATCCTGAACTCGGCGAGACAGTGAAGGTCACTTGTTACAATTGGATCACCAGCTTGCCCAGGATCATGCAGTCTGCCGACGAAAGCAAGAAACAGGCCGCCGTCCGAAACTTGATGAAGGGCATGGCTCTTGTCAGTAGTCTTCAGTTGGATTCTTCACTATTGGACGAGTCAATAGCGGCGGCTCTAAAGGACAGTGTCACGTCTCTCATAACTGGAGCGAAGCCTAGCAAGATCCTGGATGAAACAACGCCGGATGCTTCATGGTACAACCAAGATATCGTGAGAGTAGGAGATACTCCAAAGCAATATTCAAACGTGTTGTTGGGTGAGGAGAGTCAGGTTGAAACGAGGTCAGCCATGATTGACTTGCTCTCCAACGTTGGACCCGCCTCGCAGCAGACCAGGCTTGCTGCCGAAATGCTAGATCACGCCAGGGACTTGTCAGGCGATGCTCAGATAGCCTCTTTCTGGCTGAGCTTCGAACTCCTCAAGGCCGCATTTTCCCGTTCTAACGAGCTCGATGATCTCCTAGACTTCTCTTCACTGGGCTCCGGGGGCGAGGATTCCGAAACCACCTTCCAGGAATTGTATGCGTTCGCCGTTGTTTTGCTCGATTCACACTCTGAACTTTCTGAGATCGATTGGAGGCTCGAGGCCACAGCACTGGAAGTAACCGCCTTCGCAGCATCTCGATCAGGTGAAGCCTTCAGGCCAGAACTCATTGACGTGCTGTATCCTACAACAGCCTTCCTTGGCTCTGCGAGCTCACAACTAAGAGAGCATGCAATCACGACCCTGAACGTTCTTGCTGTATCGTGCGGGTACACGAGCGTCTCCGAATTAATCATCGAGAACGTCGACTATATGATCAACTCTGTTTCGCTGCGGCTCAACACGTTCGATATATCCCCAGCATCCACGAAGGTGTTGGTGATGATCACTCGCCTAACCGGGTCGCGACTGTTGCCGTACCTCGACGACGTCGTGGCCTCCATTTTCGCAGCCTTGGACAACTACCATGGTTACCCAGCATTTGTTGAAAGTTTATTTGCAGTGCTTAAGGAAGTTGTAGAGCAAGGTGTGAAATCTGATAAGCTTCTTCTGGAAGGCCGACAAAATGGACCAGAGAGTCACAAAAAGGCCGCTGGTAGTCACGTCACAATTGACGACATTGTCAATTTATTGAAGAGACGTCGGGAAAGAGAGACGGAAGCCTCGATCGACGATGTAAACGACACGACCAATCATCATCCTCAAAAGCCTTGGGGTGCGAAGGACCAAAAACCCGAAGACGGCGGGGCAGAAGAAACTGACGAGGACGCTGTGAACAACGAAGTCGAAAAGGAGAAACCACCCAAGACACCAACGTATACCCTACTGGAGAAAATCGCCGGCTTGACACAACACTATCTTACTTCACCCAGTCCCACGCTGCGAAAGTCGTTGCTCGACCTACTGGCCACCGTATCTCCAGCTCTTTCAGGCGATGAAGACTCCTTTTTGCCGCTGATCAATGCTGTATGGCCAGTGGTGATCACCCGGCTCTACGATGAGGAGGCGTTTGTGACCATCTCAGCCTGCGATGCCCTCTGTGCACTCTCCGCCACCGCTGGAGACTTTCTAGCCTCGAGAATCAAGACAGAGTGGTGGGACGGGCTGGGAAAGTGGTGCCGAAAGAAAAAGCTAGAGGCTATCCAGTCTCGAGGCAAGGGAAGTACGCACCGAGAGAGTACTAGGCCAGGCCAGACCGCCGCGACTACGAGTCAGGGAATCGTCATTCCCGTCATGACAGGAAGCGATCGGCTAAGCTATCAATCCGCAGAGATAACAAAAAGCTCGGTATCAGGCGGCTTGGGCAAATTCGCTCAATCTGCGCAGATCTGGGATTCAGTGATTCGCATGTTGACAGCTATCGTTTCACATGTCCGTCTTGACGCTGAGATATTCGACGAAGTGCTGGATCTTTTGAGCGAAGCACTTAGCCAGAAAGTTGAAGCACGTCGTGCTTTGGAAGCTGTCAATGGTGATGCAGTCTGGCTAGCCATGTACCAGCAGGGACAGGTCAAGGCCCCGAGCCTACCGAAACTAAGTGGTGTGACTTTTGCACCCTTGACGACGCTGAACTGATGCTCGCCTCGTATGCATCTCAGCCCTCACGACGGGTAGCTACGGATGAGCAGAGAGCTCCAGCCTCCATGTGTGCGGATCGTTTGACGGGAGCTGCAAGATCACATGGTAGCAACTATTATCCAATCACCGCCAATAGGAACACAACCGCCAGGTTGGTGGAAGCTAGAAGAGCGCTAGAATCATTTTGGTCTCCAGAAAGTCCAGATTGGCACCGGGATCGCTTCTATTGCATGAGAAAGATCACAAGTCGGGGCTGGAGCTGAAGATGTGACAGCTCTGAGCTGCATGGCACCACGGGAAGCATGTTCGGGCGACCTTGGCGACCTTGGCGCCTCAGGACGAGGACGCCCGATAGCTGCATAGAGAACGCGTAGTAGATTGTCGTCTGACGCGGGGTTGCGCACCATTTCCATCTTCTCGGCGAGTCCGGCCACTGCGACAACAGGGGGCAGAGCTGATAGCACTCTGAATGGATCCGTCATCCGTCATCCGTCATCCGTCATGATAGGTGGTAGAAACGGATAAGCAAGATACGAGCGCTTTGCTTGATGATTACAGTACTAAGGTGCCGCCAACCGCGATTGACGAGCGAAACAACACACCTTTACGATACCTAGACACTTTCGCACCAAAGCTTTCAAATTTGCGCAAAGATCAAGTGTTCCACCGCCCTTGTTTCAATTTGGGACGAGGGAGGGAGGCACGTGAACACAAACTTCTGGGGGGATGCCTGGAGGTGTCTGCAGAGAGCGAAATGAGGGCGACTACCCCAGATCCCCACGGACACTCGATTTACACTACGCAGTACGGGCAGAGTAACCGAAAGACAATGGACAGTTGGCTGACAAAATGACACATTCCTCTTCAGGAAGAAGGCATCATCCTTCGCAGAAACGGTCCTACCAGATGCAGTATCGGTCACCTGCACCAACGCTTGAAACCGCACGCTTCGCCGGCTCGTCTGGACGCGATTTCGAACAAAAGTGCTGCAGCAGAATGGGGGCGGGGCGATGGAGAGGAAGTGCGGGTGGTCAAGAAGCTAGGACTAATTAATTACCAAGACTCCAAGAGATGCCCTCAAATGCTTGGCCTTAAGCCGGCCAATGATATCTCCAAGTTCAGTTGCCGCCAAAGCTTGATTTGTCTCGGCGTCCAAGGGACCAAGAACCTCAGGCGACGATCACCTCGATTTCCGTCCTGTCGGATCACTTGTTGCCACCTCTCGACACCGAGAGGGCTGCCTATCCGTGCTATCCCATCGCGATAACACATATTGCATGCTGTCAATTGTTATTTGAGATTGCGACGGGTTACGAGCATTACGATTGCTAGTCGCGTTGGTCCCGAGTCAGATCATGGCGCCATACCCGTTCGCATCGGGGGGGACACTACACCTCACCTGCTGTCCAATGAACCGGGGCTTTTGGTCAGTCATCTGGCCCGGGTCTAATTGGGACAGTCTTCTAGAACAAAATGAGCTTGACGAAAGGAATGCGGCAATTATTTGCCAGATAGTGGCGGCGCCATGCAACCTTTTACTCGGTCGTTCGTCCGTTGGCGTACGAAGATCGCGTGCGTAGGACTTTACCACTGTCTAACAGAGATGCTCTTCGCGCTTACTCGGAGTGTCTAACTGCTTGTTGCCTAGAGGCCGAAGCCAATAGCACTGCCGTTTTGAAGCCACGACGGCGGCAGTCACTGTACTCGAAGTCAATTGAATAATGCCGTCGACTATTTGGAACGCCAGAGGAGCGCCAACGAGATGACAGCTAGGCACGACAAAAGATCCAGGAACGAAAACCCAAACACACAGAAGCAAAGCTTGCTGAAGCATGCGACCCTTGGGCCTAAGGCCTTGGGCCTGAAGCTCTCATATACCTCGAGGACAACCTTCTGCTTACCTTCCTTATCTGTACCACTACAACTCGCACCCAGCTTATCATTTGTGCAGGGGTATGGGACAAGGGATGGCTGGTCTCAGGAAGCTGGGGAGGCCCGCCGGGGGAATGATTGACCCTAGAGTATCGCCGAGAAAGCCAAGATATCAAACTCACTTGAGCCAATCACGACGACCTCTGTCCATTCGACCTCACTTACCAATTGGTGTAAGCTTCGCCCGAAAACCAGGCTAACACGAATGGGCTTACCCTTGTCGAGCAATACGCATGCCGTGCCGGGTGACAATGGGACCACCCCCAGGCTCGCTCCCATCTTGAGGGTCTTGAACCAATCTACTTTGGCTCTAGTACCGTTGGGGGCAACTGTCTTATCATCGGTGAAAGCTTGTCCTGTGCACCTCCTCCGAGATGTCTAGGGTCTAGGCCTCACATACGGCCTGCCATCCATGCGGAAGAACGGGACTAGGAGGACGGCGTTGCCGGGGACTGGTAGGCCAGAGTCCTGACCCCATGGCACTGGTACACTTCTGTTGCACCATAGCTGGGCCCCAAGGGGGGAGACAGAGTGCGCGGCATCAAACGCTGATACCCGATTACCTGTCCATCAAACTGAAGAATACCTACCTGCCTTGTCTTGCTGTTCTGTGTGTATATATACCGGGGCCTCTTGGCGCCAACCCTCATGATACAGGTTGTATTCCTCGTTACCTCGTTTCCTCTCCAAACCCAACAACGAGTTCGAGGAGCCAGATTCACTTGGCATCAGTCGTCAATATGTCGCACCAACCTACCGTTGTCGATGACGACAAGCATTACACCAAGGACCCTGTTGTGAACAGCAATGGCAGCTACGGGGGATCTCACGATGAGGAGGTTGGAGTTGTCACAAAGGGCGAGCCCCTTCAGCGAAACCTGAAGAACAGACACATGCAGATGATCGCCATTGGTAAGCTTCACTATAACCCATTGTTTTTTGCCAGGCCGCCGCAGTTTACTGACTTTGTACTTCAGGCGGTGCCATTGGTGCTGGTCTTTTCGTCGGTTCTGGTGGTGCTCTTCGAAGTGGTGGCCCTGCCGCCTTGGTAAGAAGTCCAGGACAACGCACTGGAAGTTTCAAGACTGACGACAGGAACAACAGATTATCGGCTACATGATTGTCGGATTCATGTTGATGCTTACCACCCAGGCCCTCGCGGAGATGGCTGTCTTGTACCCCGTTAACGGTGCCTTCTACACCTACGTTTGCCGATTCGTCGATCCTTCCTGGTGAGTATGCACACATAGCTTCGTTATCCGACCCGAAAGCCCCTTTCTCTAACACGTACACCAGGGGTTTCGCCATGGGCTGGGACTATGCCATCGCCTGGTTGACCGTTTTGCCCTTCGAACTCGTTGCCGCCAGTATCACCATCAAGTTCTGGCGCGATGACCTCAACATGGGTATCTGGGTTGCTGTCTTCCTCGTCGTCCTCGCCATCATCCAAGTCTTTGGCGTCCGCGGATACGGAGAGGTTGAGTTTGTTCTCAGTCTCATCAAGATTGCTGCCTGCATCGGCTTCATCATCCTCGGTATCGTAATCAACTGCGGTGGCGTTGGCGACAAGGGCTACCTCGGCGCCAAGTACTGGCACGACCCGGGTGCGTTCCAGAACGGCTTCAACGGTTTCGCTGGTGTCTTCGTCGTCGCCGCTTTCGCCTTTGGTGGTACTGAGCTCGTCGGTCTTGCTGCCGCTGAGTCCGACAACCCGCGCAAGGCCATCCCAATGGCTAGCAAGCAGGTCTTCTGGCGTATTGCTTTCTTCTACATTGTCAACCTCTTCATTCTCGGCCTCATTGTCCCGGCCAACGACCCCCGCCTCTTGGGTTCCTCCGGCGCCAACACCAAGGCCTCCCCCTTCGTCCTTGCCATCCAGGATGCCGGCATCAAGGTTCTTCCCTCCATTTTCAACGCCGTCATCACCATTGCCGTCATCTCCGTCGCCAACAGTTGCACCTTCGGTTCCACCCGCACGATGCAGGCCATGGCCGAGCGCGGTATGGCTCCTCGCTTCCTCGCCTACGTCGACAAGCAGGGCCGTCCCATCTGGTGTGTCCTGATCCAGATCGCCTTTGGTCTCCTCGCCTTCATCGGAGAGTCTGCCGACAGCAGCACTGTCTTCGGCTGGCTCCTCGCCCTCTCCGGTCTCTCCTACTTCTTCGTCTGGGGCTCCATCTGCCTGGCTCACGTCCGCATGCGCATGGCCTGGAAGGTACAGGGCTTCACCCTCGACCAGATCCCCTACAAGAACCCCTGGGGAATCTGGGGCAGCGCCGTCGGCCTGTTCCTCAACATCATTTGCCTGATCGCCACCTTCTACAACGCTCTCTACGTAAGTTTTTCTTCTCTTTCCCCCTCGGAATTTAAAATGTCAAGTCACACTGCTAACGTCTTTTCCTATCGCAGCCCTCTCCCAACGCGCAGCCCGATGCCACGGCCTTCTTCCAGGCCTACCTCGCCGCCCCGATCGTCCTCTTCCTCTACCTCCTCTGGAAGCTCATCTCCCGCGACTGGCGCCTCTACGTGCCCCTCCGCGAGGTCGACCTCAAGTCTGGCGTCGTCCTCGCCGACCCCTCCGACGAGCCCGCGGAAGTCAAGACTTGGGCCAACCTCCCCAAGCGGGTGGCTCGTGCCTTGTTCTAGATGGGTGTACATCCAAGAGATGGGACAGGTTGCTCCTCTCTTTGTTGGAGAGGTGACTTGTAGACAAAGCATGGTTGTGGAACATTTGAAAAGGAGGCGAAACTTGCATAGAGCGTACAAATCACTAGAAAAGTACTGCCTCGGGGATGGGAGATGTCATTATACCTAAAAGATACCAATGTTGAATTTTCACACTTTCCAAAGAACGTTTTCGTTACCACTGCGTACAGTTGGCCTACCTATGTGACTTCGAAAGTACTCGAACAAAAACAGTGTGAAGCTGAACATCAATCCTTTAGATGCAACAAATGTCAAAGGGTTATTTTATTATATTGACAATCAACACGCTGCCGTGGAGTTCACACGGAAGGGAACGGTTGCATAACCGAGCAAAGATTAGGACCAAGGGTCACGATGCAACTGTTTTTCAACTATGAGACGTCTCCAGCAATCATATGTACAAGAAAGTGTTCTATTGAAAGGGAGGGGGCCCTCGACTCAGCATAGCGCTGTTCGCACAATGAAAGAAAAATGCAGTAATCGTGACGATCCATGCGCTCGCTTGTCCAGTGTGTACATTCAATTCTAGAAAGCCAAACCATCTCCGTCTCTATAAAGGCCTGGCAAATGTTGTAGCCAGCTAAACCAAGCCTCTCTATCTGCTAGTTCGCTGCTCGCCCGCCTCCGCTGCGAGATCTCTTTCCACCATCTCGATCGAGCCCAGACTAGGGAAACGCTTCGAGAAATCCTGAACGTAGTCGTCCTTCTCCTTGACTGACATCTCCAACACCGGTCGCCCGGGAAGTCCCACGCCTACGAGATGCTCAGAAGACATAGAATGCGACGGGTGGGGCTGCTTTGGCGGCGAGCCCGGTCTGCCACCGGTCGGCAAACTGTTCAGATGCATTGGCTTCCGAGGTGCGACTGGTCTCGGCCCCAGTGTAGACCGTCCCGTTGTTGGAACAGGCTCATTTGCGGAGGGCCGTACTTTGTTGACCATCACATCTGATGAGTTTGACGGTGTCATGGGGCGAGGTTTGGCACCGCCCACTGGCTTTCTAGGGATATCAGGAAGCTGCTTGTCCCTGCTGGTGGGCGAGGATGTGTCTGTGTAGATGCCGTACCCCTGAGCAGTGCGCGGAACTTGGACTGAAGACTTCTGGCCCTCACTCAGCAGATTTTGAACCCTATTCTGGATACTGACAGCCCGAGAAACGCCTCCAATGCTCTTTGGCAGCGACCCGGGGCCGCCGGAACCTGGTCCTTGGTTGGTAAATCTTTGGCGATACTCTGCTGCCGCCGCTTCAACACGACGTTCTTCCTCCTCAAGGCGCAAACGCTCCACCTCGCGTCTCATTGCCGGGGTCATATCCTCGGTCTCCTCCAGGCCTTTACCATCATCGGTTCGGCCATCGGTAGCTTCCGATCCCTCAATAGGGTCCAATACACTACCCCGTTCGAGCTGCTTGAGCGGCGACGGAGTCCGAGCAGGGGGAGGTGCTTGATTTCCCTCGAAACGTTTGAACGCATCTCCAAATTTGCCAGCAAACATACTCTTCGTCCCGGACAAAGAGCTTAGACTTCCGCGTTTGCCATGCTTGGAGTGCCAGTCTCGCTTCTTCGAGTCTGACTCTTCCATACTGCGCAAGAAGTCCACATTGGACTCGATAGGTGCTTCCTCTTCTGGTTCTGCTACTGCAGGAGATGGCACCCTCTCGGGGAACTTGGGGGACATGAGACCGGGAGAAGGGAGAGGCTTCGAGGAGCCTTCTTTCTCTCGCAGGAAATCTAGATTTGATTCCAAATGAGTGCTTACGGGGCGCGGGCGTCCATCGATGGATCTTCTCGACTGGGCACTCGCATCGAGCAGCTCCAAACTTGGCCGACCTCCTTCAAGCGACGGTCGAGAAGATGATGGATGTCGCACGTGCGTTGGGCGCAGCTGATATGAGGGAGCGCGAGGAAGCGACCCCTCTTCATTCCCTGGGCGCAACGGTAGAGCCTGGTCTTGCTGACGGGGGAGGCTTGTAGACCGGTGATGATCTGTCGTAGGCACCTTCCACACGGGCATCGCTTGCGGAGGCTTGTGTTCAGGTGGAGGGGAAGCTGTCATTGTCCCAGTCGACACATATCTCGACGGCTGTGGCTGAGGCTGATACTGCGGCTTGGTCTGTGAAGAGATCGCCTGCAGCTCTGGGTTCTTATTAATGATGGCGTGCGCTCTGCTCATCTCCGTTGGCTTTGGAGGAGCAGATGCTGTCTTGGTGAGTCCCACCGTACCTGGGGGAGGCGACTTGACCGTTGGCGGCGGGTAGGAAGCAGTGACTGCCGGTGCGACAGTTCTCGGTCTGGCCTGTTCTTGGTGCTTCGGTGGGGATTGGGATGTCGGGAACTGATCCGCCGACCTGTCGGCGGACCTTGGGACCGGGACTCTCTGCTGTTGCGTTGGTGGTGGTGTATGAGAGTCGAAATTGAACTTTGTACCATGCTCATGGAGGATAGAGAATTGATCGACAGGCGGAAATCTAGACGCAAATTCATCCACATCTCCAGCCATAGCTGTGGATGGTGCCGCAGCCGCAGCGGCGGTAGCCGGCGCATCTAGAGCGGCGAAAGGGTCTCCGTTTGTCACTCTCATGGGAGACGGACTTGGTTTAGCTGCTTGGGCAGGCTGAGTTTGCTGGCTAGCGGCCGGCAGCCTTCCTCTTCTCATAGGAACAATATCGGGAATGGCCTCCTTCTGCTGAGCAGGCGGAGAGAAGACGGCGCCGACTTTTTGTTGGGGCTTCTCCGTAGCAGAAGGTCTGCTCTGTTGAGTTGAGGGCTGCTTTCCGGCATAGATCTGTGCAAGTGTCAGTCACATGGCCAGTCATGATGCCTATGGAATGAGGGACCTACATCATGGATAGGAACATCACGTCCTTGCATCGCACATCCCTCGCGGAGGACCTGGTAGATGTTTGGTCTTGCCTGAGGACTCTCGCGCAGCATGGATGCTACTTCTGTTAGTTATCGTGACGTGGCCAGTATCTTTGGTAACTCACCAATAAGTTTCTTCAGCCGGTCTGAGAATACGGGGTAGCTGGGGTACTTGAAGCTCGCGTTGAGAATGGCCAGCTGTCCCTGGTCTTCGAAAGGTGTTGTATAGTAGCACAACTTGTACAAGAGAACGCCCAAAGCCCAAATATCCGACTTCTCGTCGATGGGCTGTTTTCGGTAGACGTCAACCATCTCTGGACTTCTGTACTGCATGGTGGTATGCTTCTGGACATCCTCATCTAGAAGTCTGCATTCGACGACGGTCTGGGGCGCAGGTTTGGGCGGAGCAGCAGATCCAAAATCGCAAAGCTTGAAACGCTTCTGTGATCCATTGCTAAGGATCAAGACGTTTTCGACTTTCAGATCGCGGTGAAGCAGCGGTGGCTTGAGGTAGTGCATACAGGCGACACCTTCCGTTATGTCGGTAAAAATGTGTAGGATCTCGGGTTCGGTCAAGCGGTGTTGTAAACGCGTATTCATGAAGTCGATGAGTCCGCCTCCGTTGCAGAATTCCATCAGTAGAAACACCTCGTAGCCTCCTCCTCGCATTTCCGATGCATGAGAATCGATGTATGTGACGATAGGGCGATGGCCCTTGAGCCTCTTCATTGTCTCGACCTCGATTCGCATGCTGCGTAGAGCCTCCTTATCGGGGACAGCGACTCTTTTCAAGACAGCCATGTCTGTGCCATCGACGGCTTTCGGAAGCTTTACTAGGTAGACGTGTGCGAAGCCACCCTCAGATAGGTATTTCTGGATTACTACCCTGTGACCTCCGACCTGTATCTTCGTTCCGGGCGTGAATGTGCCGGCAGGCGCCGTGGCCACAGGGGCAGGCATTGGGGCGCCATAGGTGGCAGGGTGAGCAGCTCGAGGAGCCGCAGCGGGCATATGATGGCCGTAGGATGCCATGTCGGCTAGATGGCTTCGAAAAAGTGTCGCCGGTAGTAATTGTGGCCGTCCGGAGGATTCAGTCAGACCGAGGATGTCGTGGGTCAGCGGGAGGAGGTTGAGGTCGAGGCCGGTGTTATGCTAGACGGTGAGAAAGCACGGGAGTAACAGGAGAGCGAAAGTGACATTGACGAGCGTTTGCGACCCGAGCAAGGAACAATCAAGCCATTCTTGGGTGCCGATGGTGTTGATGGTGTATATTCGCGTCTTGGAGGAGATGGTTCTAGGTTGCCATCCAGCTGGACCTGAACTTGGACATGCGTAGTGCGTAGCTCGCAGGTATGGAGTGTCCCTCGGCCGCTGTTAGTGGTGGAGCGGTGGCATAAAGGCCTTGGGAAGTAACCAAGACCCTGGCATATCCCGTTCCATGTTTCGCAATGCAGTCGGGGAAGTGTCGGGTAAATGCGCCATACATACTGTCATTGGTTAGGCAGCTGTGGCAGAGAGGCTTGCCAGACGGTACCAAGTGTAAGGCTCGTCTGATTCCGTAGACGGTCAGGCAGAGATCCAGATTCGTTGGTGGGGTAGATTCAGCTAGGTAGGTAGGTAGGTAAGGTAGGTACCTACCCACGTCGCCTTATCGATATTAGATAACGATAAGAATTTATCGATTCGATAATTTTTTTTGTCTATGCCTGGGTCTCGAGCCGCTTTGCGCTGCAGAGCTGCAACTTTTTTGATCTGATCTCGCACGCTAGAAAACCTACACAGGCCTAAAGAAACGACGACGAAGACAATCAAAATGGTAGCCAAGAGAAAGAGAGTCGAGATCGTGGATGCGACTCCCGCGTCCAAGGCAGCACCCTCGAAGAAGACCAAAGCAAATACCAATGGCTCTGCCTCTAAGCCGTCAAAGGCGGCGAAGGCGAAGGAAACAACAACTCTGACGGGCCCCGCCGAAGAGGTGACGATACAGATTGTCACCGGCTCCTACGACCGAGTTCTCCATGGCATCACTGCGACGATCAAGCCAGAGGGCAAGGTCGAGTTCGCCGACACTTTCCTGTTCTCTGCGCATACCTCGGCCATCCGCTGCATCGCCCTGTCTCCTCTCTCAGCACCCATCCCCGGCCAAGGCCAGAAGGTCCTGCTGGCGTCCGGCAGCACCGACGAGCGCATCAACCTTTACAACCTTTCGGCGCATCCCCCGAATCGCAAGAATCAAGACGCCCTCTCCGCCGTCTCCGCTCGCCCTATTCTCGAGAACCCCAAGAACCGAGAACTGGGAACGTTACTACACCACTCGTCGAGCATCACCAAGCTATCATTCCCCACCCGATCGAAGCTGCTTTCCTCGAGCGAGGATTCCACAATTGCCGTCGCGAGAACGAGGGATTGGTCCGTCTTATCGACCATCAAGGCACCGATAGCCCAGGCCTCGGGCAGACCCAGCGGAGACACTGCGCCCTTTGGCGGCGCGCCATCCGGTGTCAACGACTTCGCTATTCACCCCAGCATGAAGTTAATGATCAGCGTCAGCAAGGGCGAGCGGTGTATGCGACTGTGGAATCTTGTCACTGGCAAGAAGGCCGGTGTCCTGAACTTCAATCGCAGCATGTTGCAGGAGGTTGGAGAAGGAAGACACTCGACGGGAGAGGGACGGAGAGTAGTTTGGGGGAAGACAGAAGATGAGGACGAATTCGCAGTTGGTTTCGACCGAGACGTTATCGTCTTTGGCATGGACAGTGTCCCCAAATGCCGTGTCATGCCCGACACGCGGACAAAGATTCACGACCTCTCCTACGTCACCATCGACGGTGAATCCGAGTCGAGCCTGTTGACCGTGTGCACCGAGGATGGGCGGGTCTTGTTCTTCTCTACGAAGACAGACGACTTGAAGAAGCCTGAATCGGAAGACAAGACCCTTTCGAGCGCCAAGTTGGTCGCTCAGATCGGGGGCAAGGACGACGGTGTTGTTGGCCGCATCAAAGACACAGCTATTCTGCAAATCCAGGAGGACGAATCCACGGCACTGCTGGTGGTTGCTGGCAGCAGTGATGGCAAGTTGCGGGTATGGAAGATTGGCGCAAAGGAGCTCACCGCCGGCAAGGGCGAGAAGGCTGGCAAACTGTTGGGAACTTACGGCACAAACAACCGCATCACGTGCGTAGCGGCATTCACGATGATTCCTCGGCCAGAGGGAGTGGAGGAGAGCGAGGACGAGGTGGATGATGACTCTGATGAGTCTGAGGATGACGATGATGAAGAGTAGACTACAACGACAGTGCAATTGCAATAATAATCCAAGATATCCGTGTAACGGCAATTATCGCGTTAATTCATATTCGTCGGGCATTGTAGAATTCCATTCCGCCCGAATGGAAGTGTGGATTTCAAACGGGCGGTCGGAGAGACGGCTCCGACTTCCCGCTACCGGCGTCGGGTCGTTGATTTCTCAAACTGGCCCGTGCGGCAATCCGCTGATCGGCATCAGGCGCGTCTCGTATTAGTCTGCAGATTGCATGCCAATCCCCAGTTCTGTTCTTTGGCACGGGCGTTCACAACCACTGTGGAGGTGCGTCGAAGGTCCGAGGTTTTGATCTTGGCTGCGGCTTCGGATCATAGTTTGGTGGTGATGGACGCGGAGTAGGCCAAGAAGTCCGAGATATTTGCAGAACGGGCTGACTACTTTAATTAGTGTAACATGGGGAATGGAAGGAATTGACGAGACGTGTGCCGAACCTAGAGACACGAGAAAGTAAGGAATATCTCACGTGTCAAGGATTATGTTGAAATTTTCCCTCGCGGGCGTATCTTCAAGCGTGCAATGTCTGAGTAATGGGTGATATAACTCGGATTTCTCGTTTCTGTCTTTGAAAATAGTGCCTCGAAAGGGAACGAGAGGTAATAGCCGGCAAGACATTAGAACCCGACGGTCCACGGGAAGCAAGGCTATCGCCGTCTTCCCGCTTTCCCCCCGCCCCCCTTTGGGACCTTCGGTATCTATCTTACCCTGATTGAGAGTCCTCCCGGGCGGCATTGTCTTAAGTCTAGCAATTACGTCTTAGTCATGACTCAAACTTGCGACTTTTCATCTCCATCACAATCCCTCCTTCGTTCTCCTGGGATTTGATCAGGGAACATGTCTGAATACGCGGACTGCTCGGAAACGGTTCAACATCATGGGCCAGCCCCTCTTTGCGCCGAGTATCAAGCATTAGCTAAGCTGGCAGGGAGGCAAGGGTACCTAAGGTATCTTCACGGCTCTTAGAATACGCCAGGAGAGCGTGGAGAGGAGGCCCAGTTCTCAGGTGAAGGAAAGAGCGGAGAGCTAGGTAGCTGGTACAGTCACGGGATCGCACCGGTGGGTTTTGGAGGCACTGGAGGGGAAAGAAACGCGGTCAGCCGCTTCCACTTTGTGTTATGGTCTGGCTGGCCGGGAGCGATCAGCGAGGTGGTGCAGCTTGGTGCTCCTGCGAAACGGGGTGACGGGCTAGTAGAGTGTGGGGTAGCGGCGAATCAGCAGGTCAAGAATGTCATTTCAGGAGCCAATTCTGGTGTCGAGGGGACCTTCCACGCCTGCTGCACCACGCTCCTTGCACCCAGTCATGTGGCTCCACTGGGACACACAGCTTTTGCATGCAGTTGGGGCTTGGCGGACCTGGAGTCCCCTAGCTTCCCGGCTCATATGCCCGGGCGTGCTTCTTTTCGCTCCTCACCAATCCGAGGGATGCCAATGCTCAACAGCGGGGGAAAAGACTGTTTAATTGTGTGCAGGTACGAAAAAGTGTGTGCGAAAGGTGCAGAAATTTTGGTAAGCTACCTTCCGGTCCACAGCCCGTTTGGTCACCGTGGTCACGCAGCATATCAGCATCAGCACCAATATCAACGAATGCAACGGCGGTCCAGTCAACGGCAGATGCGGTGCATATGCATACCTACAGATTCCGGAGAGGAGAAAGCAATGCAAGCCTCACACGTTGGAGGCGACTAAGATACTGTAGGTAGGTATGGATGCAGAACAGAGAGGTATGTTGCGGTGCAGGCAAGCCGCGAGAACATGGGTAGGTCTCCATAGCTACTCCGTCTGAATGTACCCCAGGTGGGAGGCAAGGTACGAATATACATAGAAGACCTCCAGAACAAGTATCCGCACTCAAAACAAAATGTACTTCGTCCCTGCGAAACGGCGACTCAATGCCAAATGTGCAAAAGTTCAGACATGTGAATATTCCTATTTCCCCAGTCACCTCCACTCCCCTCTTCTCACTTTTGTCTCCTGCTCGTAACTCCCATGCAACCTCTTCCAACCTGCTCGCCCGTTGCTGTTTATTCCCCAAGCCACACAACGCAGAGACCACACCACCATCACGCTGTGATTCCCCTCTTCTCGTCTGTTGCCCGCATCTGTTTTACCGTTCGTGTCTCGTCCTTTGGTCGTAGCCGTCGTCGTTCCGGACCAGAGACGCGCATAAAGATACACGCCAGTATTGGTTTCCTGCCTGCAGGAGACTCACGGCCACTGAGAACAGACCCTCACGCCTTGCTTACTCGTCTGCCACGGACGCCAGCAAGCCACAGCGAACTGACCTCTAAGAGATGATGCCGCCGTCGCCGCCTCCTTCACTCCCGTCACCCTAACCCAACGCCTTGTGCCCATTTTCGTCACTCCCGTCTGTTTATAGCTGGTCGTCTCGACTGTTTTCTTTCCCCAGTACACGCATATTGGTTCTTTCCTCTCTTCGCCATCCTTCCACTCCACCCACCACCAACTCCCACGACATCCTGTGGCAGGGTTGTCTTGCATCAGCTCCTCCGAACCAACTCAACCTCGACCTCTCACGCTCCACGCTCAGCCGTCGCATTTCCCAACAAAATATACGACCCTGGCTGTTTATAGTACTACACAACCACGACTCTTCCAATCCTCCTCGACCTGCCTCTGTTCGTCCGAATTTCTCACCATCTTAGCTCAAGGCAAACTCCATAACCCACGTGAGGCGAGACGCTTCACTCCTCGT